GGTGGCTAGGTACTACGATCGCAAGATGCGCCCACACCAAATCACCATGGGAAGCTTGGTGCTTCGACGCGATTTCCGTCCAAAGGCGTGTGAGGGTAAGTTGGCACCAAAGTGGAAGGGACCCTACCGTGTCCGAGAGGTAGTTGGGCCAGCCACGTTCAAATTGGAGCGCCTGGGCGGAAAGGCTGTCAAGAGGACCTGGAACGCCATGAATTTGAGAGAGTACAAGGGAATGGAAAGGGATGAGATGTCCGAGTAGTCGGCAGGGAAGGAAGGGGGAGGCGCCCCAATTTTGTCTGACTTGGGAGGTTAGCTCACTGAGCAGAGGAGGGTATACTATTACTGCAAGCGTGTCCTCCCACGCACGCTAATTATCGCTGTAAGGCGCCCGACACTTCGCATCCGAAAATCGTCTTTTGTTTTTCAGAACTACTTCCTTTGACAATGTAAAGCGCCCAGTCTTTAGCGCCCTATTGATTGTTCTTAATATTAGTTAATGGTTCGCTTGTGCGTGTATCTCTCCTTAAAGCGCCCTAAGTAATATGCGCCCATCCGCAAGTTGTTTCTCCCGAACTAATTTCTGACAGTGTAAAGCGCCCAATTTTCAGCGCCCTGGGGAGTGTTCTTAGAGAGAATGCGAGTAGTTCATGGTCCGCTCGTGCGTGTTCTTTTCTCACCAAAGCGCCCTAAATAGTCTGCGCCCTTCCGGAAGTGTAGTCACACAGGTTGAACCATGAAATACTAAAGCGCCCTGAACGATTTGCGCCCCTTCAAATGAGGCGTAACGGAAAACGCAATCTCTCGAGTCGAGAGACAAGCAATTGAGGGAAGTAAAGCGCCCATAACTATGCGCCCATAAGTAAAGCGCCCAAGAAAAAGTTCAAACATTCCGAAAAGTAAATGAGATGTAACCATGTTCTGACAAAGTTCCAAACATGCAGAAAATTAAATAATAACAAAAACAGGCAGAAGGAAAACAAGTGCGCCCCCCCCCCCCCCCTTCACTCTTCAGCCTCGACCTCGCCTTCTTCGCCACCTGAACCATCGGCACCAGCATCAGACGCATCGCTCCCACTGAGGTCGACCCTTTCATCCGCCTCCCCCTGCGCCTCGGCGCTTTGGCCATCGCCAGAGTTCTGCGCCTCTCCCTCTTGCTCTTCATCCTCTTCATCGCCACCTTCCGCGTCCTGCGCCTCCTCTCCCTCGACCACAACTGGAGCGCCCTGCGCCCCCGCCTCTTCGCCCTCGGGAGTCGCACGCTCTAGCTCAGTGATGATATGGCACATTAAGTCCTGAGCGTCGAAGTGCCAGTCCGGGTGGTCAGCAAGGAGCTTTTGCTGCGCCAACTCCACCGTGCTGATGACCACGTCAGCTTGCAGGTTTTTCCCCGCGGTGGTGTTCTTGTAGTCAGCCAGGAGGAGACGGGCTTTCTTCAAGTCCCGGTGGTAGCGCCTGCTTGTCTTCCGCTGCTTCTTGCCGGCCGCCTCCAGTTCGGCCACGGACTCGCGAAGGGAGTTCCTCTCCACGTTCAGGGCATCACGCTCCCGGGTCAAGGCGTCCTCTCTCTCGCGGAACGCCTTCTCCTCCTCCGCCTTCGCCTCCAGCCGCGTGGCATAATCGGGGGCCTTCTTCTGCGCCTCCTCACAGGCCGAGCTCAGCTCGTCCCGTTGCTTGTTCGCGGCTTCCAGGTCTGCTTGGAGGCGCACAGCGGTGATCTCAGCGTCCGCGCCCTGGCGCCTGATCTTGTCCACCTCGCGGGTGTTGGCTTCGCACAGGAGCATCATCTGAAAGGCAGAGCGCATTGGAAGGAGTTAGAGGAATTCATGCAACTAGGAACGGGAATGGGGCAGCGTAAAAGGAAACTTACTTGCGCAGTCAGATTGGTCATCTTACGCCAGGGCTTGTCGGACACAAGGTTGGCCGGGTGCTCGACCACGTCGTATTGGGAGCGCGCCCATGAAACGGAGGCGCCTAGGTCCTTCGCCGCCTTCACTGGCACGCCCACGGCAACCTTAGTGAGGGGGCGCCTGGGAGGCTGAAGGTAAGGAGGAATCTCCTCGCCGGTGTGTGGCCCGATGGTGGGCGCTACAAAGCTGGGGGGGAGCCCCGAGGCGCCCGCTGGCGACTCCTTCGCCCGTTTGGCGGGAGGAGCTCGATCGTCCCCGGACCTCTTTCGAGGCGCATGTCGCGGGGATGGACGTGAGACCTCCTCCCCACCAGCCTGATGCGCTGTCTGCGAGGAGGGGGATACTGGAGACTGGGGGCGCCCCAGCTCGGTCGGACTCGCGTGGGGGCTGCCTTGGCCAGAGCCTGCGCTCGCGACCGGTGAGTTACCACGCGCCCCACCGGAAGCGCCCGAAGTGGGGGGGGAGGCAGCAGCCTTCCCCTTGGATTTGATGCGAATGGTCCGCCTCGGAGGCGCAGAGGCGGAAGGTCGGGGCGAGGTAGGCGCCGAGTTGGTCGGCGAGGCGCCCTGGCCGATCCCCAGACGGGATCGAATGATGGACGACACCGAGGTGTAGTCAGTGCCTGCGAAAGGGGAAAATGGAGGTAACAATTAGCAAGGCAGTAAGGTGCGCCTAAAAATAAAATAAAAAAAGAAAGAAAAAAAAAGGGGGGAGCGCATGGGAAGAAAAGACGGAGCGCTCGCGCTTGAGTACCATCTTGATAGAAATCCGCCAAGAGCTGCACGTACGCGTCATCGTCCTTCAGGTCGAATGGCTCCTCGGAAAGGCGCTCAGCGCTGGCCAGCTCCGCCTCATTCAAGGAGGCAGGTTTATTGAAGTACTTGGGCGTCCCAAGCGCCCACCGTGTCAAGGCGGGACGCCCGCTCGCGAAGAAAGGCGTTTCACGAGGGCAAGCAAAAAAGTAGGAATCAAACCACGTGCGCCCCAACTTCTGACAATCCTCAATGAAGTGGTAGCCTATTTTCTTGCGCTTGTGGAGTATGAGGCAGTTCTTACTCCGGCTCATCCGGAAGAAATGGTTGAAGAGCTTGAAGGTAGGCTCGATGCTCAGCTGCCGACACTTAAGACGAAATAGAATGGAGTACAGTATGACCGCTGGAGAGAGGCGCCCCAGCGAACACCGGCACGAATCAAGGACCCCTTCAAGGATGGGATCGAGGGGAAAGCGCAGCCCGAATCTAAGGTACTCTTGGTAAACCCCTACCCAACCGTCGCCACAGGCGCCTATCCGAGCTGCTCGAGGCGCATGGGAATATTGCCAAGGCGCAGGCATCTGAGCGGCTACCAGCAATTTCTCGAGGCGCACACGTACGAGCTTTGAAGGGTGCTTCGGGCCCACCGATTCCAAGGGCAACCCGGCCACGTCGTCGGGCGCTTGCCCCGAGGCCCAAGTCGATTCCCACGAACGAAACGCATAGCTTTGCGATGCGTCAGGGCCTGGGGCAAGGGGGCAAAGACAGGATTAGGCGAAGAAAACGAGGGGGAACAGACCACACGAGGCGCACTTAATGGAGGGCTCAAAGGGATTAGGCGCGCGACAAGTAAGAGGGAAGGCGCATAGGAGCAGGCTAACGGATTGGACGCAAAAAAAAGGGGCGCATTAGGGGCAGATGTCTTACGTCGTGGTGCGGCGGCCGAAGTGGAGGGGGCGCCTGAGCGCGAGGAAGCAGGAGCGCCGGAGGAGGGCGCAGAGCGCGAAGCCGAAGGTTGCTGAGAAGAGGCCATTGATGGGAGCGCAAGTCAAGGCGCGAGAGCAACTAAGGAAGGCGCACGGGAGGGCGAACGGCCGTTTCTAGTGAGAGAAAGAAGAGAGAAGTCAGAGCTTTCTGAGGGGAAGTGAAGAAGAAGTGAGGGGGGAGGAGAATATATAGTGTGGAGCGGGAAGCTCAAGAGTCCCAGTGTTAGCCCGTTTCGAATTCCGAATTTCGAAATTCAAAATTCAAAACGGCCTAGGGGGAGATAGGGGGAAGCTCGAGAGTCTCAAAGAGTAGGGGAAGCCTAGGGGTCTCATGATGGGATAGGGGAGAAGTCCAAAGGTCCTGGAGGGAAGAGGGTGGATCCCGAGGATACCTTGATAACATTCGAAGTGCGGGAACTGGAGGGTCCGCAACATTGGAGAGGATCGATGAATCGCAAGCGGCGAAGCCCGGGGGCAAGGCGCGCAGAAAGCTAACAGGGCGCCACATGGCCGGGGGCAAGGCGTGCAAAAAGCTAACAAGGCGCCGTGTGGTTAGGGCAGATAGCAAGGGGAAGAACCAGGGAACCACGGAGGCAAGGGTCTGGGAGCAAGGCGCACGGGGGCAAACAGGGCGTCTCGAAGCGGAGGCGGACGCAATGAGTTCAAGGCGCCTGGAGAAAGCCCACGCCTAAGGAGCACAATGTTCCAGCTAGGCGCCTTGGAAGAAGCCTCAGGCGCCTAGCTGGGGGGGCAATTGTTGGGGATGTATACATGGCCCATGTGGGTTGAACCAATAGGGCTCAAGAGTAGAGTTTGGGAGGCTGAGGAATTGGGCCCGGCCCAATGGGCCCAGGGACAGAGGGAAAGTCGGCCCAGAGACAGGGAAAAGCTGCCCCAGACGGGTGGGGCCGCAAACCTGACACGAGGCGCGTGCGACAAGTGGGCACCGGGGAGTCCCAGTGTACGGGTCGGAGGACTGGCTGACGTCATGCGCCTGACCCTTCTGAACGGAGTGTCAGATGGTCGAGGCGCATGAGCGCTAGGCCGTACGGAGCATTAATTGCGGGTCTGGCAAGGGGCGAAAGGGAAGGATGTTGGTCGGCCGGGCTTCGGGTATAAATAGTCGGTTGGTGAACTTCATTTAGGGAGGTTGGTGCTTCTCTCTAAAAATTACTATTCACTTCTCTCTCTAGAAAAGGAAACTGACTTGGGCGTTGGAGTGCTAACGAGTCCTCTCCGGGACTCAGGTTAGTAGTGCAGCGTGTAGGTCCGAGCGCGCGGGAAGGATCAAGCGCGAGGGTTCGGGACGCCTAGTTACCGGGCTCGAACAGAAACCAACAAGGAACCACGTTTACCACTGCATTGTTTTGCAGCATTAACAAGCCGGTGACAATTGATACCTAGTGGTGCGTGGCAGGAAGAAAAAAAAAAACAAAGGCTCCCATTAGCCAGAGGCAAAAAGTAACACCGTCCTGCTATCGTTAAATGTGATACTAAGCACCTACACAGTAATCTACTGTTGTTGAACTTACAGATAGGAGATTCTTCAGTACAGATGCGCAGTTTATCAGCACGGTCAGACTGAAGCTCGACAACTTCGACAGAAAAGGGTAACTTGCCAACAATGGAATGGATAATAACTGCAATTCCAGTTCCATCAACCATCATAAGTTATTTCCCAAACACACCACAAAATGAATCAAAATGGACACAAATACTTTCAGGCATACCCTCAAAGATGCATGTGAACGAAGAAATGGCAGAAGAGGCGTTGAAATACTTACCCCAGCAATGCGGCCAACCATTACAGGTCCGAGAAGCCTCTCCGCATATGGATATAGAGCAAGTTGGAACACAAGCAGTCCAAAGCCTGCAGTAGTTTCAACACCAATAGTATGTCGTCAGCAGAGAGATGCTAAGTTATGTATGTTGCTAAAACTTCAAATATTTGTTATTATTGTTTTTTAATAATAAGCAAACATTTTCTTTCTGTAGCCTGCTAAGTTTGCGAAAGTTAAGATACCTACCAGACACTGCCAGAACTTCACCAACATTCTGCGTCGAGTATCCAAGTCCGCCGAGCTTTCTGGGGCTCACCACCCATAATGAAAATATCTGTGCACAATACAAAGCAGAGGGTCAACCAACCTTTTACTCTACCAGATGCTAGTGAAACCTGCCGTGTTATTAGTCATCTTACAAGGAACGGGAAAATGAGCACTGTAAATATACCCCATGCCTTCTCAAATATCACCAACCTCTCAAATCCTTCTCCAGGGATTGAATTAATGGAAATGGAGTAATAAGTAAGAAATGATGTACCTCTGTATAAGCCATATCATGAAGTGAGAAGATGCAATAGACCATGATAGATGACATCAGAGGCCAATTCCTAAGGAGGCTTGCTGGTTGTTTCTTCTGTTCAATCATCACTACTGAGTTCTCCTCGTCTCCCTTCGACCCACCATCAACAGATGCAGTGTCCAAAGCATTATAAGAGTCGTCACACGCTGTTCTCTTTTCCTTGTGGTTATGCAATGTTTCCTGTGTACTTAATGATACTGGTTTATAAGTTGTTTCTTGCAAAAAACCAGACATTTTATAGAGAAACTTGCGTTAATCTTACACCCATGTATCTCAAACTAAGAACTCAAAAAGGGGCTTGAAAAGTTAATTCTTAACAGATGCATTATCATTTTTATTGAGACTCAATTCAACTAGTACAACAAAAACGATCTTGAGTGAGACAGTTGGGTTAACTTATGATACAAGAATCAACTTCCAGCAATCATATGAAAACAGACAGTGAATGTGAGCAGTCAGGATGTTCACCGGGAGCCAGAAAGAAGCAATCATTACTCCGAAGGTAAAAAGTGATATAACCAAAGAAGGCAGGAAGTAGGGAAATCTGCATTAAACAGAATTTATTAAACCACCATTAAAAAGAATAGAAGAATACTTAATGTCAACGGAGCAAAACTCAAAAGAAAGCCCAGCAGTTCACCAACCTCCCAAATAAAGAATCCTTGGAGAACAGAGTTGGATATTTCTCAGCTGGCTGCACCAAGTACAAAGGAAAATATTTATTCTTAATGATCAAGTACAGAAAGTTCATCATTTATGCATCACTCATAAAATGGTGACCGCCTACAGTGCAAGTGTTATTGCTGGCCTGCTAACTAGTCCTGTTATATTGTGTACGTACCTGGGCCAGGAAACCTCCTAGAGCTGGACCAATAATCAATCCTATACCCCATGCTGTGGCGATCTGGTAGAATTTGAACTCTATTTAGTTTTTCTATTTTGTTTCTCCGGAGTGAAAAATGTAACAGATCCACAAAGCTACTCACAGTTGACAAACCCAAGGCTTGATGTTCAGCTCTGAAAATTTCAGATGCATATGCCTGGAATTCCATTGTATTTTGGCAGTGAGACCATGTTAAAGTTTCAATTTTGTATGCACGTCTTGCTGTGCAGATAAACGATCAACGAAGTACATGGGAAAGAACAACTATACCTTTATTGGACCATGTAAACCATTCAAGCACCCGAGTAGGAATCTTGTGATAACAGCCATCCAATAGTTAATACTGAGCCCGAAGATAGTGTTCAAGATAACCCTGACAGAGAGAAATGCATGGCATAGCTCCGGGATAGATGTAAGCATAAAAAATGGTCAATGGAGATTAAAAAAAAAGAAAAACTAGCTCTGATCACTAACACTGATGAAGTCCCCAAGAGTATAACAGGCTTTCGACCATAGCGATCCGCCACCAATCCCCAGAAAACAGAAGTCAAAGCTCTACCAAACATAAATGAGGCTCCTTCAAAAGATCCAGAAGGAGATATTCAGATTGCTTCATCAGGATCAGTTCAAATAATGTGACAAGTGGGGGAAAACTATCATTGGTGCCATGCTGCAAACAAACTCACCAACATAACCAGCATAGTAACCGATGTCTTCTTCTTTTTCTGCAACATTGAAGTCCCTTATCTGAAAATATGAATCAACTATGAATATAACCATCTGCTTTAAGACGAAAGAAAACAATCATGTAGTGTTGGGGATAAGAAGATACCAGTGTGGTTGTGATTTTCTAGGTGGGAGTCCACGACGTGTATGCAAGGATTTACAGGCTCTGTTTTTCCGCCATTTTTGCAGTTGCTGGATACAGAGCGTTGATTTTGAGAAACCCTCTTGAATGATTCCACGTCCAAACATTTCGTTATCTGATTTGATTTGGTTGGTTGAACCCGGGCCCTTGCAGTTACTAGCTCTCTAACAATTAAACAAATAAAAATTAAATAAACAAGTCTCATAAATTCACTTGGTGATATGAGACAAAATAGTAGATGATGAAAGATTGGCTTTGATATGGATTTAATGAATGTTTATCAAGATGCAGAGAAAACAACACCACAAAATGACAAATTGTATGGCGTGCATGCATACCTGGAGAGTTGAAGCTGTAAAATGAAGTTAAATATATGCATGTATGTACGTGAGGGAGAGAGGGAGAGAGTGAGAACCAAATAATTAAAAAATGCAATCCCCTTGTTTCTTATGTTCTGCCCGCCAACTCCATCTTTCTTTACTCCCTAAAGTTCCATTTCTAAATATCACACTTAAAACAAAAACCAACCCCGGAGTTCGTTTGGTATTGAAGGCCTGGATCATTCATGATAAGTATCGGCAAATGGTGTGCTGGTTTGAGAGAGATGCAGGGTTGGGTGAAGACATTTATAATGATGAAGATAAGGGGTGTTTGTTTACACGTTATCTTTTCCTTAAATATTTTTGTCAAAATAAAGATACTTTACTCAAATCTAAGTCAGAAATGCTCATCGAAAGGGTGTGCAATGGTTTTGTCGGTACTGGATCGCAGCAAACCAAATTATAATGTGGTACGGTCTTTGGTGCTATGAGTATTATAAATACTAAAGAAAAGTGGATCGAATTGAACTAAACCGGAGTGAATGCAATGTCGGTCCTACCTTTTGTTCATGTCTTTAACAAAAGAATGACAATTCCGATGCCATTCTTAGTAGCAGAAGAAACTAAATAAGTGCACGCCTCTGTTAACACAATATAATCACTGTGTTACACAGAATTTACCTGACACAGGCTCAGAAGAATACGACAAAGATATTAAATTTGGCCTGGTGAACTTTTTCTATCGATTCTTTTCCGATCGAGATGTATGGTCATTTACCTTCGGTTAGGACTTCCATCTGAGATGGTTACATGGGTCGCGATGTCCACATCTACCTGAGAATAGCAACATAAGTTCTTAGCATGTCTAGTTTTACATCACAAGAAAAGAAATCCCCAAGTAACATAGTAGAAATACAGCTGGTGACCTGTGACTGCTTACCCCAAGACTCAGATCTTGAAAAGAACATCACAAAGAAGGGATAATGGCCAGAAATTCTAAAAAGGAGTATTCGCAAAAGAAAAACCAATTAGAACACTTGCTGATTTGGTGGTTGTGCACCAAAGAAGACTCCTATCACTAATTTACTGCTTGATTCCTGAAACAGAAATGACGGTAATCAAATTAGATGAAACAAAGCACATTGGCAACATGAGAATAAAAAGTCAATCACTAGATGTTGTATCACATACAGGGAGATACTTGAGTAGATTGTTAATTATTGGACAGCGAATCGCCTCAAGGAGCTCTGGACCTTCAACCTTCCTACCACTGTCACTGCAAAGCCAAAAAGGCACCAATGTTAGGCAAACAGAAGTTGATGTGCATAATTCTGCAATGTCGAATTAAACAACTAGAAAAAAGGAAGGCAGCAGTAAAACATATCTTCACCAAGTTGACACAGAATTCAAATAAACGGATCTTCCATTGACACAGAAACCCACATCTCAACTATTCTAGTACTCATTTCTCTAGCAAGTCTTGAACTCTGAATAAGAAAACCACAGTTTCTAGGCAACATGGGTGAATATTTCCATTGCACAAAGTAGTGCATCCGGCGACAAAAATCCCATACTGATTTCAAAACTAAACTGTTAGCGGATAACTCCAAATCTTGTATTCCAACCTGAGTCCTGACATAACAACAGACATATTTGCAGAGACCATCAACCCCCCCTTCTACATTAAAAAATATCCATTCGTATAAAACAACCAAGCAGATACCATTAGTATCTCATATTCACCCCCTTACCTACTTGAACACTAGACAAAATTTTAGGGCTTCTTCTCCTAGGAATATCTAATAAAATGCATCCAAAATCTATATGCATCTGTTGAGACTTTAACTCCTGATTCTTTTGATTGAATAACAAAGTAAACCATCAGGTTTTGAAAACTCAACTAAGCCTTTCTGTTCATGTTTACTTCTTCCTCTTCATAAGCTTAGATGATGGTAAGTTTGACAACAAAGAAGTAGAAGCTTGAGCTCCTCTAATGCCTCCATGGTCTCATAAGCTAATATATGTTTACTTCATCCCCCAATTCAAGCGAGAAAGTTTTTCAAGTTTTGACTCCAAACCCCGACTATCAAAAGGCTAAATCGCCCTGAAATAGAGAATTCAAGCTTATTATGAGTTCATGATCCACAGACCCTTAAACCTATTCAGTTCAGTGGCAATCAGCAGGATTCGTCCAACAATCTAGAAAGCAAGAAGCGGAAAGACATCCACGAACGATGAAAAGTTCAAGAAAAAAGGGGGATTGTGGCGACTGCAAGCCGAAGAGAACGAACCTAGCAATTGAATTGGTCGATGGAAGAGGCGATCGAGTGGCGCCAAAGCTGATGAAGGAAGCAGAAGGAAGTTGGTGGCATGAGCGATAAATGCTGCTGCGGCAGCCATTTTCGATGACGACAGCTATCTGTAAAAGTATAAATCACTCTACCCTCTCCCACCTTGACGCGCCAAATAACACAACAGACGATCCGACATTTGAACAGCACCGGACCGCAATTTGAACCCGTCCCGGGTAATACCGACCTGATCGGGATGGGCGGGTATTATCCGATTCGTAGTAGCATGGGGTGGGCTATGAATATCTACTTTTAACCTGTCCCTCCATTTTTTCAGCGGCGGATCGAGGATAGGATATAGCACTATGTCACATTTAAAAAAGAGGTGGATAGGACTGAGATGCCAAAAATAAAAAATTTACAAGGATATACTAGCTCTGGATTCAGGAGAGGGCTGGGTCGTGGCCTTGGGGCGCCCCCAGATCTGCAGCTGCATTTCTTGACCCATTCTACCTCAATTTCTTACGGTATATTAATATTTTTCCTAATTTTGACGATTCTTCAACTAGTTAGAGTTGACATTTTAACTAATTAAACTCAATTACCCATTTTATTATCACTGTTTTCCTATACAAGTGTTTTCCCCTTCATTTTATTGAAAAAAGTAAAATTTTGCGTGTATTTTTTCAGATAACATGTAAGAGTGGGTCAACCCGCCCTCCCTGACCTGCAGTAGCGTGAGACGGGGCATTGATATTGAGGTATCTGACCCGCCCCATTGCCATCACTCCAGAGTCCAGACCATGATAGAAATAGTTGTAAACAAATTACAAATATGAGATAAGATAACAATAATAAGACTAATAATAATTTTATCAGATATCCCGAAGCAATAATTGTGAAATCGTACCATATGTTATGTCGAAAAAAATTAGTGATAAAGTATTTTGTATTAAAAATGCGATTCAATTGTTTCATATAGTTAAAACCACTTACCATTTGGGATTTGATATATGCTATTTTGGGTCAGATCGACCGGTAGTGTAGGATTTCTGAAACATAAGTTCTTTTACTGTTTTACATGGCTAATGGAGTCACACACCACATTCATGGTCAAATTGTCATCGATCTGCAGAGAGCGAGTACGATGAATCTCTAAACAATATAAACTAGGGATGACAATTTCGACTGATCCCGTTTTACCCGACCTATTTGATTTGTTCTAGATGAGTAATACTCACCCCGCAACGAAACATATCAAATATTGGTACACTGTCTCCTCGATCTGCCCTGACCTACCTCGAATTTCGAAAGTCATGCAATTGCAATCTCATGATAATTCAGATTGACTGGCTTGGGCCGGCCCAGGAAAGATGGGCCGGCCCATTCTCTGTATTTCAGATGGACTCTCCTCCGAGAGGTGCAGGGCCTTCTCCCGCTTTGCATACTTGTACTTCATACTAATGTCGTGCGAGTCAAGGAAGGTCGGAGGTTGGGCGGGACTTTTTGGAAGGAGCAGGAGGACATTTGTTTTCTTTTTTGGCAGAAACTGAAGAAAGTATTCATTAGCAAGATTGCAGATTCACAAGCCTCTTCATCTGCTTCTCTGGCACTGCATCTTATCATCTACATGCTTAGCCTCGGAACCCACACTAGTTCCGAGCAAAGAAGAGAATGAAATCAATGTAGTTTGCTGGAAGAGATTCTGTTACAAGTAGGATGAAACAACAAATAGCACGAATGCTAGACCTGTTCCTTTTCCCTAGTGGGGGAAAGACGAGATCAGTCCTATCTATCACTCCTTTCTGCTGAGCTTATTTGATTGCTTTACATTACATTTGCCTTCCGGGCAAGACGCCTTGGCATGGAGTTCACTTTCCTTTGAAGTAGGCCTTATGGAGACAAAGCCAGAACTGATATTTGCTAAAAAACTGATGTGTAGTAGTAGTAGGGGAGTCTAGGAGAGTATAGCAGCAGCTAGGTCATTGTGTTGCTGCTGTTCGACCTCGGGGCTGGGCTAAGAATGGCTTGAAAGTGAACACCACCCCAATTGCCAGCACCACGTTCAGCACGAAGAATACCATTTGGTTACCTGCGCCACACACAAATACCATCCGTCCAGACCGGGTTCAATCATCTCATTACCAAACGGAAGAAGAAACATACGCAGCCATCGTCACACAGGGAACTGCAAAACTAAATCATTCATCATTTACCTGGAAGGAAGGCTGCATCCTGACGCGTTTCAGCCCAAGAAAACCTGCACAGATGCAACACACACACACGACAGAAACCATTTAAATTTTCAACTCCAGCTGTTTGTGTGCTCCTTGTGTGTATGTTGTTTGATTCGTAGTATGGTTAAATGGTTCATTTCATTCTCTGCAGACCAAAATCAGAAGCAAAGGGGGTGTGGCAGTTGACTTACAGAGAACCCCCACCAGCAGGACCAGCTGCTTTAAACAGAGACATTGCTGTCATTGCTATCCCATTCGCAGCTCCTCTCTGGTGCTGCTCCTGTTTCGTTCATTCACAACATCCGACAAGTTATTCACGCCCAAAGAAAGACTAACAAAACAAGTAAGAAGGAAAATCAGCAAGGAACCAAGTTTACCACTGCATTGTTTTGCAGCATGAACAAGCCGGTGACAATTGATACCTAGTGGTGTGTGGCAGAAAGAAAAAACATAGTCAGGAGCAAGAAGTAACACCATCCTGCTATCGTTAAATGTGATACCAAGCAACTACACAGTAATCTATTGTTGTTGAACTTACGGATAGGAGATTCTTCAATACAGATGCGCAGTTTATCAGCACACCCAGACTGAAGCCCGACAATTTCGACAGAAAAGGGTAACTTGCCAACAATGGAATGGATAAGAACTGCAATTCCAGTTCCAACAAACAACCATCATAAGTTCTTTCCCAAACCCACCACAAAAAGAATCAAAATGGACACAAATCCTTTCAGGCAGACCCTGGAAGATGCATGTGAACAAAGTAATGGCAGACGAGGAGTTGAAATACTTACCCCAGCAAGGCGGCTCACCATTACAGGTCCGAGAAGCCTCTCCGCATATGGATATAGCGCGAGTTGGAACACAAGCAGTCCAAAGCCTACAGTAGTTACAACACCAATAATATGTCTTCAGCAGAGCGTTACCATGTCATTTATGTAGCTAAAGCCTTGGATATTGTTATTATTGTTTTTTAAGATTAAGCAAGCATTTTTTTGGTAGCCTGCTAAGGTTGTGAAAATTAAGATACCTACCTGACACTGCCAGAATTTCACCAACATTCTGCGTCGAGTATCCAAGTCCGCCGAGCTTTCTGGGGCTCACTGCCCATAACGAAAATATCTACACAATACAAAGCAGCGGGTCAACCAACCTTTTACTCTATACCATATGCTTGTGAAACCTGCCGTGTTATTAGTCATCTTACAAATAACGGGAAAATGAGCCCTGTAAATATATCCCATGCCTACCCAAAGACCTCCAACCTCTCAAATCCTTCTATAGAGATCGAACTAATGGATATGGAGTAGTAAGTAAGAGATGATGTACCTCTGTATAAGCCATATCATGAAGTGAGAAGATGCAGTAGACCATGATAGATGACATCAGAGGCCAATTTCTAAGAAGGCTTGCTGGTTGCTTCTTCAGTTCGGTAATCGCTACTGTGTTCCCATCGTCTTCCTTCAACCCACCATCACCAGATGCAGTCTCCAAAGCATCATAGGAGTCGTCGGATGCTGCCCTCTTTTCCTTATGGTTATGCAATGTTTCCTGCGTACTTAAAGATTTTTTGTTGAGACTCAATTCAACTAATACAACAAAAACAATCTTGATTGGGACAGTTGGGTTAACTTATGAGACAAGAATCAACTTCCAGCAATCATACGAGAATAGACAATAAATGGGAGCAGTCAAGATATTCACCGGGAGCCAGAAAGAAGCAATCGTTACTCCAACAGCAATAATTGATATAGCCAGAGAAGGCAAGAAGTAGGGAAATCTGCATTACACAGAATTTTTTAAACCACCATTAAAAACCATAGAAGAACACCTTATGTCAACAGAGCAAACCTCAAAAGGAAAGCCAAGCAATTCACCAACCTCCCAAATAAAGAATCCTTGGAGAACAGAGCTGGATATTTCTCAGCTGGCTGCACCAACACCAAGTACAATGGAAATTTTTTATTCTTAATGATCAAGTACAGAAAGTTCATCAATGCATCACTCATAAAATGGTGACCACCTACAGTGCAAGTGTTATTACTACTATTAGCCTATAGTTGCAAACATACATAAATTATGATATTGTGTACGTACCTGGGCCAGGAAACCTCCTAGAGCTGGACCAATAATCAATCCTATACCCCACGCTGTGGTGATCTGGTTGAAATTAAACTCTATTTAGTCTTTCTTTTTTGTTTCTCCGGAGTGAAAAATGTAACAGATCAACAAAGCTACTCACCGTTGACAAACCCAAGGCTTGATGTTCATGTCTGAAAATTTCAATTGCATATGCCTGGAATTCCATTGTATTTTGGCAGTGAGACAGTGTTGAACTTTCAATATTTGGTCAGGTAAACGAACAACGAAGTACATGGGAAAGAACAACTATACCTTTATTGGACCAAGTAAACCATTCAAGCACCCGAGTAGGAATCTTGTGATAACAGCCATCCAAAAGTTTACACTGAGTCCGAAGATAGTGTTCAAAATAACCCTGGCAGAGAGAAATGCATCATAGCTCAGGCATGGATGTAACTTGTAAGCTTTAAAAAGGTCAATGGAGATATTTTTTTAAAAAAAGAAGCTAGCTGCGATCACTAACACTGATGAAGTCCCAAAGAGTATAACAGGCTTTCTACCGTAGCGATCAGCCACCATTCCCCAGAGAACAGAAGTCAAAGCTCTGCCAAACATAAATGAGGATCCTTCAAAACATCAAGGAGATATTAGATTGCTTCACAGGGATAAGTTCAAATAATATAAAAAGTAGAGGGGGTATCATTAGTACTGCAAACAAACTCACCAACATAACCAGCATAGTAACCGATGTCTTCTTCTTTTTCTGCAACATTGAAGTCCCTAATCTGAAAATATGAATCAATTATAAATATAACCATATGCTGTAAGAAGAAAGAATGTACAACTCTATGGCCAGCTCCGTTTCTTGCTTTACTCCTCTTACTGAATTGCTGACTAACCTTAAACTATCTCTCGATGACTGAAAATGAAAACACAGTTCTAAGAAACAGAACTCTTTACAAATCGCACTTCCTTAGCATGTTAACATTTTTATTTGAAGCCAATGTTACATACATACTATGTATTCTCACCATGAAATAGAGATATGGAAAGAGAGATGATATCGGGAGAGCTGCAGAGAAAAGAGAGCATATCAGTACATTTGAACCAAGAAAAGTACAGAGTTGCTCTGTAAACCAAGAAAAGTCTCTGACGTTTATGCTACCAACATGGCTAGATGATTTGTTTGAAGGACAAAACAAAACAAATGAAAACATTGACTAGCAACTAGAACTAAGGGCCTACCGTACCTGTGCAAAGAACAACAGTCCAAATTGAAAGGAACTCCCGGATGGGCAATCCTCTCTTCAACTCTTTCTGTTCATCAACCTTGCAACCTGGACAATTCTCATAATACTGTGGCTTCTTCAACAGTGGAACTGTATACTCTTCTTCTGCTGCTGCTGCCATCCCTTTTCTTCCTTAGCAGTAGAGAAGATCAGCCTCTCCCAGCAGTGGAACAAGCTCCACTTTTCTCTTTGCACCCAACTATCTCAATCTCCTCCACAACTATGACCGTAGCATATGTATATGCATCCCCCACTACTAAGGAATATGAAAGGAATCAATAGGAGCAAAGGACAACAACAGAGAATCTGATGCAATGACAATTTTGCGGTTATTATGATGAGAGGAATATGCCTGGTGACTAATGACAACTGATCACAAGGAACAATCAAAATTTCCCACTTTGTCTTATCATAATAACAGCAAGAATATATAGAAGAGACTGTAATGTGGATGTTGGAAGGGAGGAACTGATGATCACAGTGTAGTATTACTATCAGATGAAGATAGCCAGATAGAACAACTCATCGATTGTTATCAGTCTCTTTCAGTTTGCAGTCATGATAAAGATTGTGAATTGTGATGGCAATAGAAGTAGGGAGCAGAAGAAGATGCTGATCAGTCATAAACACATCTGATAGCAGCCAAGTCGGGCCCACACCTCCCCGCCCATCAAATCATCACTACAAACGTCATCAACATGGAGAGGCCAACTTGAGAGGAAAGTTACAACCTTACCTCAAGCCCAATGATAATAATATAATGATGATCTCGGGAGCCAGCAAACCAAACTACGCCACATAACTTGGAAAGACAAAAGACGACAAGTTACTGATGAGAAGACCAGCAACGAAAAGGAGAACCAAAGAGCAACTAGGACTCTTCTTACTCCTTGCTCGTCTTCTTCTTCTTCCAAGTTCTCTCAGATTGTGTAGGGAAGAGCCAGCCTTGTTCAATTTATAACAAGCAACTCAGACATTGGTCAAATAAAATATACCCCGCAAATGTATATACATTCTAGACAGCTATTTTGACTGCAAGGGCACAAATCGGACTAACGACAAAACTAGAGAAAACGAAATCACGGTGAAGTACATGAAAACCCAAATTGAAGGGTCACTTCCCTTCTGTCAGGCAATAATTCAAACAGGTTGTGCGCATGTTATTGATTCACATGGGCTGTAAAAAAAAAAAAAACCCACCAAAAAAGGACAGATCTTTCACTGCCGGATCTTTCAGGGGAAAGCCAGAGCATCTCCCTCGACTCTCTAGTGGCCAATTAGTACTGCAGCAGTAGATGTAGAAAGTAGTAAATAGCATTGCAAACAAACAGTAGCGACATCTTTTTTTGTTTGCTTTAAAACTCGTTGTAGTTTTTTAATCGATTGGGGAATTCCTCTAATCGATTAAATAATCGATTGTCCATAGCATGAACAGCAACGTAAATTCCAACACCTACCACCACCCACTAACTCAGAATGGAAAGGACCCAGATGGTAGATTGCAGTTGATGCCAATATAATACGAAGAAAATTGCGAATTGGAATGGTGGGACTGGGTGGAATTCATGCACCTGGGCCTGGCATTAGCTGCGGAATTAATGGCGGCGGGGGCCATCGGCACAGTAGCTGCGAGCTCTGTGGCCGTCCGCCTCCGTCGTCAGAGAGGAAGGAAGAAGGATCGAGATTTGGCCGATACTGGCGGGCCGGTCGGCGGAGGCCACGTGGTCAAATACTGATGGCCGATTGTCGGCCGGTCAGCACAGCGGGACTGAACGGGCGAGGCATGCAGAGCCGTGCGTCGCGTCGTCCCTTCTAACTCCGGTTTGAATTGATCATTTCAAGTAAAAAAAAACAAAATTGCACGATCAGTCCTTCAACTCTTGTATTCAGGCAGTTAAGTACTTCGATTTCACATTCCTCTATGAAATTTAATTTTTATGAAAAAAACAAATTTTTTCACTAATGAATAATGATCCATCATAAGATTCATAACTATAACAATAGCAATAGCAGCAGGAATGCAATTCTCCTGTCTTAGGCTTCCACTTTTCTTCTTCTTTCTTTCTTTGTAACTCAAGTAGGGATGGCAATGGGGCGGGTTGGGGCGGGTTTTGTCAAACCCAAACCCATGGGTTTATCCGCCAAAAAAACCCGGGGTAAAACCCGTTGGGTTTGAAAAACTCAAACGCAACCCAACCCGCTGGGTATCCGCGGGTTCATGGGTACCCGTGGGTTTTTGTGGTAGAAAATTTACAATAACAAGTTTCTTTCAAAATAAAAGTTTTAACATAAATTTTCTCATACAAATTATTCATACAAAAAACACCAATCTAGAGCATACAAGCAAACCGCAAATGATCAATACAAATTGTTCAATAAAGATAAACAACTATAAATAATAAGATTAATTGAAAACTTCTTCATCGTCAACTAAGTTTCTTCACTCTCCATTTCATAATATCAACTTCATTCTAAACGAACAAATTATACATGTCTCCACAAACATAAAAAAATATTAGTCGTTTAAGGAAGATATATTATTTAGAATATTAAATATACCGGGAAAGTAATTATATGTGTGGACGGGTACCCATGGGGCGGGTTTACCTAAACCCAAACTCAACCCGACCCGATGAATAGTGTAGCGGGTTTAAACCCGAACCCGGCCCAAAACCCGTCAACACGGGTTTTACCCGTATTGACCGGGTTGGGTCGGGTGGGTACCCGTGGGTTCGGGTTTTGTTGCCATCCCTAACTGCAAGAACAATCTCGCGGACCCAATCCCGAATGATAAAAGCCAAGATCCATACCTCTTGTAAAATTTGAGTTTGTGTTGATACTAAGTTTGAAAAACGACTATGAATGGTTTTTTCCACGTGTCAAACTTTCATTTATAATGTTCGTACGGATTATTAGACCCTTTTAATCACCCGACCCATGCACTACGGTTTGGGAAAAATCAAACCCAAACCCACCCAAAAAAATTTAAACCCTACGGTTTGTTTCTAATTGGGTTGGGTCGGGTTGACGATATTTTTAAGTAAAAACCCAACCCAACATAAAATATATAATTATTCTATATCATAAAAATATTTTACAACTAATTAAAATTTCAAACGAATGAACCGAGGTGAAAGGTATCAAAATTCACAAATGTTGTTTGAATTTTAATTAAATGTGATATACTTCAACATATGTCTTGTTTTTTTCACAATATTTGTTGAAATAGGCTAAAAATGTTATAAACAAACGCACCCATAATATGTTATTCTATTAAAATTGTACACAAGAAAAAGGATTACGTGAATCATAACTATATTCAATTTATGTCTAAACTTTAAGTCGAAGAATGCATTAGATTAGGGAGACCATGAGAGAAAAACATGCCGAAATATCTTATTTTTCTCATAAATATTTTTTAGACCCGAACTCATACTAATAGTTGGAACACGGGTTGGGTCGGGTTCTACGGGCTGTGTAATCCAAAATCTAAACCCAACCCAAAGAAGGCGGGTTGTACAAAAGAAAACCCTCACCCAACCCAAAACTTTCGTTTTAACGATAAATACGGGTGGGTTGAGTCGGGTTGGACGGATGGGTCGGTTTACGGTTACGTTTGTTCACCCCTAGCTACCCTAAAAATCCCTCCCCATCCAAACAACAAAATCATATGGGAAGCCCGATTCTGACAGTCATGGAACCCGCACAAAACTCTAAACTTATGTCTAGAGCAGCTAAATTGGTAGTCTTCCGGCACCGATTTTCCCATTGCAATTTGACTCTACCCATTTGAGACGCTGGTAGATGGGACGCCAAAATTCCCCAGGTGGCTGGTATTATGAACAAAGAGCATATCGTATCGAGTAGCTTGCAGTTTTGGCGATGTACGTGGTGAGCGAATTGAGTAGTGAGAACGGAGGGTAGCAATCGAGTAACCTTGAAAACTCTTGTGTTGAGTGGTTTCCATATTCTCGTTATAAGCAAACGACTTGGAGAGTTTGTTATGGGGTTATACGTAGAGTACATTAATCTTTGTCGCCAAGTACCAAATTTTTTTTTTCTTGTGCAACATGTGAATAATAGATGTTTCCAATGACTCATTCTCAAAACAACAAACTAGGCAGAGGTCAGCAACCCGAGCATCTCGTGTCTTAAGGATAGTAACGCGTATAGCTTGCCAGACGAAGAGAAAAAAAAACTTTGGGGAAATTTTGGAATTTGCCAAGTTTTTGTTCATTATCTATCTTTCATCCATCAATGTGACTTCACCTCCAAAATTGATATAAAGAATGGGGGATATTGTTTTCTGCTGGTTCTTCATCCATACTGCTATATCATCCTCACAAATGATCAAAGCAATCAACAGATTGCTCTTATTGTTCCCTACCAAAAACAAAAAAAGAAAAGATTGCTCTTATTGCTATCCAATGCCGGCCATCGAAGCAATCAATTACGACATCTGCCACGAGGAACACGATGAGGGCAACGCAATCAATGAATGAAAAATGACACAAATTGTGTATTGCAGTTGCTACCCGTTTAGCAAAAAAGAGAAGAAATTTTTTGCAGATAACTAATAAGAAATTACGGTCGGAAATGATGGGTTTCGTGGAAATGGAATGAAGGATCGCGATTACACTCGCATTCATGCACCTGGGCCTTATGCGAGAAAAGGCTTGGGCCTTGGAAATTGGAATTAATGGCGGAGCTGTCGCCGTCCGCCAGCGCAGCCGCGAGGCAGCAAGCTTGGTTGTTGGATTGGGCCGGTCAAGCGGCGGCCACGTGGTCAAATGCTGAGGCCCGATTGTCGGCCGGTCAGGACTGCACAAAGGAAGGCGGCAGGGCATGGCAGGGCATGCAGAGCCGGACGTCGCGTCTAGGGATGGCAATTTCGACCTGATCCGTTTTATCCGACCTGTTTGGCCTGTTTTGGGGCGGGTCCGACCCGCCCCGTAGGCAGGGCGGGGCTGGCATGGGTACTCTCATCGACTCGACCTGCCTTGATCCGCCCTATTCTCGACCCGTTCGTGCCTAAATTACATGTAATCTTAGTAAATTTACTTAGTATTTTTCTTTTATTACATCATTATTTAGCTATAATAAAGTTGTAAATTAGTGAAAACCTAAATTTCTCTAATAATTTAACTACATTTATCATAATATTGTTTGTTTTCTTGGTCTTATAATAAAAAGGTTCAATACACTTGTATATCCAAAACTTTCACGGTTGTGCCAATAATATCCAAATTTCCCGAAATACCACTTATATCCATGTTTTAAAGTTGATATTTGCCAAATATATCCATTTCCCAATATCTTTTTGGTTAAATACACTTGTATATCCAAAAACACCGTTAAAGAATGTGAAGGAATTGGATATAAGTGGTATTTCGGGAAATTTGGATATTATTGGCACAACCGTGAAAGTTTTGGATATACAAGTGTATTTAACCTAATAAAAATAACGAATATTTCTAATGTTTTTCATATAAATTGCATACCCATTGGGTCGACCCGCCCCGACCTGCGACCTGTGATAAATTACCCGACCTGGACCCGACATGCCACGGGGCGGGTCTGGGTACCAAGAAACCCGCCCCGAACCTGCCCCCATTGCCATTCCTACTCGCGTCGCCTTCGACTCCCGGTTTGATCATTTCGCTTACCAAAACAAAATTATCGCAAGAACAGTCCTTCAATTCTTATATTCGTGTTGTTAGGTCCTTCGATTTCACATTCCTCTATCAAATTTGTTTTTTACGATGAACTTGGAAAGGTTTGGCGTTTGGGTTTGGGTTTGGGTTCGGGTTTGACAAAACCCAACCTAACCTGGCCCATTGCCATCCCTAACCGCATGTCCTACGATTTTTTTTAATATGATATAAGACAATATAATGCAAGAATGAACAAGTACCCTAAAAATACCTCACAATCCAAACAACAAAATAAAACGAGAGCAACTCTAAACTCGATAGTGAAAAGGAATTTTTTGCGACACTATGGGCAGTCCAATTGGTAGCTAGTCAAAGGACCACAACGAATCTCTAGATCTATGTCTAGAGCAGCTAAATCGGCAGTCACCCAACGGTGGCTTCCCAATCGCATTTGGCTCTACTCGAAGCTCGTAGATGACGAATTCAATAAAATCTTCTTCAACTGGGTTGATGTGATGAAACAAGAGCATATTGCATCGAGTAGTTAGCAGTTCAGCCAATGTACGAGTTGACAATCCCAAGATGCTAAGGACCAATATTAGTGAAGCGCGGACCATCGTCTCACCTCCAAGCCCGTAGCACAACCATGATGAGGATGAATATCACAGTTGAAGTTGAGTTATTAGGCGGTCAGGTGGAGGAGAAGATTCGATTGGAGGCACCGCAAGGTGGATCAGAGAGGGAGGAAAAGGATAGGAAGACGAGAATTATGGACTTGCTGAGTGAATTGAGTAGCGAGGACGAAATATAGTAGTTGAGTAAACTCGAAAAACTACATGTGTTGAGGGGTTTCCTTATTCTCATAGTAGACAATCAACATTAAATTTTTTTTGTTATGGGTTGCACATAGATAGAGGTGGCAATTTTTTTTTTTTGCATTAAAGGAGGCGCAAGCCAAGAAAAGAAGGGTTACATAAGGGGGTGAGGAGGGGGAGAACTGTCCGGTGAAGAAATAGCCGGGCGAGAGACAATCCGCCGCTCGAAAGAAACTCCCTGCACGTCGTCCTGAAGGATGGCCATAACCCCTGACGGCGGATGTGCAAGTTCATGCATACCGTAGGGATAGACGAGACTGTGCTTCGAGAGCCAGTCCGCGACTCTATTCCCTTCCCGGTACACGTGAACAATGCGCACCAGCCAGTCACGACTAATTCCCCTGCGAATAGCAGCTAAAAGGGTGGCATAAGGATGAACTGGATCATGCCTGTCGTTGAGTAACTGGATGGCAAGCTGACAGTCAGACTCGATCACAATCTGACGGAACCCAGATTTCCAAGCGATATCCAAGCCATGATAAAAAGCCCAAAGCTCTGCCAGAACTGCAGTAGCCTCGCCGATCTTAGCCACAAAGCCAACAATCCAATGCCCCACACTGTCTCTCAAAACACCTCCGGCCCCAGCCATCCCGGGATTCCCATTGGAGGCTCCGTCGATGTTAAGCTTCACCCACCCCTCCGCAGGTGAGCTCCAAGCAATGTCCGCCATAACCCTGTTGGCAGGAGTCGCCCTCCGGCTCGGCAAAAGGGACGGAGCGTCCAAGCTTCGCTCCAGAGTTTGGTCTTGGCAAGAATCGAGTGGGCCAAAGAGGGAGGGGTCAGGGTGGAGGACACACCTTTGAAACACATGTCGTTTCTGTTTTTCCACAAGAGCCAAGTGGCGATACTGAACAAAGTAGCCCAATCGGCCCCTAGATGCTCGTGATCCCCCGCTGCCAAATTCATCCGAAGCCAATCTGCCGTGTCTGCCGAGAAGAATCTTTGCTGTTGAGCAATGGGGACCTGCCTTGTCCAAAAGTAGACCGCCGGAGGGCAGTCCCTGAGGATGTGAAGGACAGTCTCAGCTCGACCATTACACCGCACGCAGTTGGGGGACTCTGCTGACTTCCGGGAAAAACGGAGAACATTAGTCGCGATCCTGCCAAGACAAACCAACCACATAAAACAACGAATCCTCTCCGGAACTGGCAGGCTCCATATGATCCTCCAATACTTTTCATCATGATCCGGCTCCTGAGGCAGAAGAGACTGATAGGCGGTCTTGGTGGTGAATCTTCCGGTCGAGGACAACGCCCAGAAAAGAGTGTCTTCTTCGTTGGAAAGCTTATCCACCGCCACCCCCATAATTTTCTGCTGAATTTCATGGGGAAGGATGTCCTCGAACATTTCGGTGAGCCATTCCCCCTCTTCGGTCACCAGATCTGCCACCACTTCCTCCATGCGCGAACTAGGGATCTCCTCCACCGTCAGATTCTTGAGAGGTTCCTGCACAATCCAGGAATCATACCAAAATTTAGTAGTATTCCCATTCTTAATATTCCAAGCGCAACCTCCTTTAAGGAGAGAGGAAGCTTTGGTCAAGTTTTTCCAGGTAAAGGAACTTCCCTGAACATGGCGGAAAAGATCTAGGTTCTCTTTGTTCCGGCCGTATTTATCCATGACCACCTGTGTCCAGAGCACATCCTTCTCCTTTAGGAGTCTCCAACCACTCTTAGCAAGCATGGCAAGATTGGCATTCCTCACCGAGCGAAGACCAGCTCCTCCTTGAGGCTTTGGCAAGATCATCTTCTCCCATCCAACAAGGTGAATTTTCGATCTCCCCTCCTCTTCTCCCCAGACGAAGTCCCTGTTGATACGATCAATAGAAGTGCAGACCCCTTTAGGTAGTAATTCAGTATGCATATGATAAGTAGGGAGAGAGGAAATGATAGACCTGGACACAGTGAGACGAGCAGCCAAGGATAGACGCTTGGCCTTCCATGGAGCTAGCTTCTTTTGGATGCGCAGAAGAAGGCCCTGGTATCTCCCAGAAGTCACCCGGCCATGAATGCCGTGGATACCAAGATATCTCCCAAGCTCGCTCTTCAAGGGGATCGCTGCCCGCTCGCTCAAGATACGCGCCTTGGCCCTGTCGACATTCGGGGAAACAAACATCAAGGACTTGGCGTAGTTGACTCGCTGCCCAGAGCTAGAGCAAAACTCATCCAGGCACTGCTTGATTATCCTGATTTGCCTCGTCTCCGCCTCAGCAAAAAGCAAAAGATCATCTGCAAAGAAAAGATGGGTGAGAGGTGGCCCGTCCCTAGTGAGCTTAATGGGCTTCCATTGCCCACTATGGAGGGCCGCATCGATCCTATGAGATAAACGCTCCATACATAAAACAAAGAGGTACGGGGAAAGAGGGTCTCCCTGGCGAACTCCGCGAGTCGGAGTAATGGGAGAGGACAGGGTGTCGTTCCAGAGAATGCGCATCTTATTCTGCTCCACGCAATACATGATGCACCGGATCCAGGAGCTGGGAAGCCCCACCTCCATCAAAGTATCGCGAAGGAAGTCCCATCTTAGCATGTCATACGCCTTCTCGAGGTCGATCTTAAGAATCAGCCCCCCTTTCTTTCCCTTCCTCTTCCCGAGCGAGTGAAGAACCTCCTGAACGACAATAACGTTGTCCGTAGTTTGCCGACCCGGGATGAAGCTACTTTGGCGAGGGGAGACGAGCTTCCTCATCACCGGCTTCAGCCTACTAGTGATAGCTTTTGTGATGACCTTAAGGCTCACATTGTTAAGCGAGATAGGCCGAAGCTGGGTGACAAACTCCGGGTGATCGACCTTGGGAATGAGCACGACGGTTGACTCGGAAACCTCAGCAGGGAGAACTCCTGAGCTGAAAAACTCCAGAGCCATATCAGTAAGGGACTTTCCAACCACACTCCAGGCCTGTTGGTAGAAGGCTGCGTGAAAACCATCAGGACCGGGGGCTTGGAAGGGCTTCATCTCGAAAACTGCCTTGTGGACATCCATAATGGTGAAAGGTCTCAGCAAAACAAGGAGCTCCTCCTGAGTCAGGCGAGGGAAAGCATTCCTCGGCATCCTATCCTCATAATCCGAGTTGTCCTGCAGATAGATATTAGTATAAAAGTCAAAGACCATGCTAGCTAAAGCTTGAGGGTCATCGATCCAAACTCCTGTGGAATCCCGAAGAGCTGTGATCCTGTTTCTGCGCCTCTTGATGTTAGCCTGCTGATGGAAATAACTCGTGTTGCGCTCTCCAAATTTGACCCAGCTCTCTCTAGCCCTCTGAAACCAAATCAGTTCCTCTTGCTCTAAGACAACATCTAGCTCGGCTTCAAGTTTAGAATGAAGTTTAGCCAGCCCAGGATGAAAAGCTTCGGAGAGGCGCATCTCCACTCCGCGAATACGCCCAAGCAGCCTCCTCTTTTTCTGCTGAACATTTCCAAACACATCCCTATTCCAGGTCTGAAGTGCCGAGCTCAAAGCTAGCAAAGCGTTCGGCAGAGGGACAGAAGAGTTCCAAGCACCTGCAATAGTGTTCAAAAGAGTATTATCAGTAAGCCAGGCAGCCTCGAATTTGAAAGCACGAGGAGGGTGGAAGGAGTGCCCCTGAGAAGCAAATGAAGTAAGAATGGGGTTATGATCTGAGTTCAGACGGGGCAGGTGGCGGACATTGGTGTTGGGGAAGGCCGAGTTCCACAAGATATTGCATAGGCTCCTATCAATTCTGCTGGCCTTGTAGCTGCCCGAATCTTCCCCCCTAGTCCAAGTAAAGTTGGGGCCAGAGTATCCAAGATCCACCAGCTCCGCCTCATTGATCCTCTCGTTAAAGACACGGCATCTCCGTAAAGTGGCCACAGACGCAGCCCCGGACTTCTCAGAGGGAGCTCTAATGGCGTTAAAGTCCCCTGTAAGAATCCAAGGTATATCAATAGATTTGCTCTGAGCAGAGATGTTGTCCCAAAGCGGTCGCTGTCGGCTAGCGTGGGGAGAAGCATAAATCGCCGTAAGCATCCAATCGGGCAAGTTGTTATGCGAAATACGGATGCTGATGTGTTGAGAGCAAGCCGAAATGATCTGTGTCTTGAAGCGGCGAGCATCCCAAAAGATCCAAATGCCACCTTGCCTCCCATCTGCCTCCACTCGAATCACATCCGGAAACCCCAGCCTATCGCAAATCGTGTTAGCTGCGTTACCACTGATCTGCGGTTCAAGGAGGACAACAAAATCAGGTCTATAAGTCTGGATGGTAAGCTTAAGAGCACGAAAGAAAGCTTTGCTCCCAGCACCCCCAACATTCCAAGCAAGAATATTAAAGTTATTTGGAGAGGACATTGACATGGAAAAAATAAAGCAAAGAAGGGACGAGAGTGAAATCCAGGAACAAAATCACCAAAGAACGGAGCCTAGTTAGCATTGGCCGCTTCACCCGCGGCGGCAGGCTGGTCCACTTGAGTTGGCCGACTCCCTCCCTGTTCGAAGCTTCGTTCAGTTTGCGCCGCCGCCCCGGTCCAGGCGTTGATCTCCTGCAGCGTAAGACTCGCCAATCGAGCTCTAGATTTGGCTTTCTTGTCCTTCACAGGGGACCAAATCTGAAGAGCCTTCGAAGCCTGGAGTTTCACCGGAGTAGCCCCCTTCTTGGATTGCCGCCGATAGGTTTTGTTGGGTTTCGTTCTTTCCGCCGCCGTCATGGACCTGGAATCCGCCTGCCGGTTCTTCTTTGGAGACGAGGGGACGGAAACAATTTGCATCTTGGTTCCATTTGAACCGACCACAAGTTGGACCGGTGGTTGGTTTGCAGGCACGGATCTTTTGGCCATCATGGGCCCAGATTCCGTAACCAGGCCTTCAGAAGCTGATTGATTAAGGCGCTCAGTGGGAGAAGCAGAACTATGGGCTGAAGTGGAGGCCTTGTTCAGCTCAGACTTGGACCGAGGCCCAGTTTTCACACTTTCCCGCTGGCCTGGGCCGGAACCCAAAACGCCTTTACCCAGTTCCTTTTCCTCCCGCATAATTTCCTTTCCTTTAGAATTGTCTCTGCCCACGAAGATCTCCCCTTCCTTTTCAATTGAATTCCCTTTCCTTTCCAGCTCTTGTGGACGCTGATTCACCGGAATCTTCGTCATCGTGGTAGCGGATGGGGTAGAGTCTCCGTCTTTGAATCTATTTCCTCCTTTCCCGTTTTTGTTCGCCTGCCCTTGACTCCCGTTACCCAGATCCTGCTCAAACTTTCCTTTCTTCGCAGGATCCCTAGAGGAGCGGCGACTCTTTTTGGAAACTAACATCCAGGGCCCAAATCCCGGCTGATCCACTTCCCCAACGGTCGCCTGCGTGGCCGGTGCCTGGTCGCCGACGATGGTCAGTTGCCCGCCGGTCGTTGCCTGTTGAAGATTTGAGCAGCTACCAGAATTGTGGCCGACTTTTCCGCATTCAAAGCACACCATCGGGAGGTTTTCATACACCACTTTCTGCCAGTGGTCATCCAGGAAGATCCGAGGAACCAGGGGTTTGGACATGTCAATCTCAACCGCCAACCTAGCGAACTTCCTTCGTTGCCGATTGATTGTGTGGTAATCGAGTTTGATTGTACGGCCAACAAGATTTCCCAACGACATGAGAACCTCGCGATGATAGAAATGAACTTTGAGGGCTGGAAGTTGAATCCAAACGATCATGGTTTTTGGCAAAGGGTCGAGTATCCCAAAGTTGGGAGTCCATTGTTGCACTGCAAGATAGTGATCGTAGATAACCCATGGTCCATCGGTGAGCGCCTTGAAGTAATCCTGCTCATTTGATAATTGCACAAGATAGCAGGCATCATCCAATCCACCAATCCAATCCATCAATCCATTAAAAATATCCACCTAATCCAATCCATTTAAATCCAATCAATTTGATCCAAATCCAATTGGATTGGTGGATTCATGGATTGGATCCATGGATCATTGGCAAATTACGGTTTAGTACCTATAATTTTTATTTTTTACATTTTAGTACCTAAAATTTAATTTTTTATACGAAAATTATCATTGGAAAATTACGTTTTGGTACCTAAAATTTTTCATTGTGACATTTTAGTACCTAAACTTTTTACGTTTTACATATTGGTCCTTGGTTGAGGATGTCATTTGGATTCATGGATAATCCACCAATCCACTTGATCCAATCCATGAATCCACCAATCCAATCCACCAATCCAATCCACCAATCCAATCCATTTGCCACCTCTACACATAGAGTACATTAGTCTTCTTTCACAAAGTATCAATTTTTTTTTCTTGCGCCGCGTGATTAAGGATCATATAACCCAAAATTACCATTTGCCACAGTCAAGTAGCTAATGAACGTGTAAAGTACATGCGTTCTAGTGAGTCCTTAAAGCAACAAACTAGGCAGAGGTCAGCAACTGGAGCATCTTGAATCTTAAGGATAGTAACTATTATAGCTTGCTGGAGGAAGAAACAAAACTTGGGGAAAAATTGGAGTTGCCAAGTTTTTAGTTCATTATCTATCTTTCATCGGGTAATTAGCATAAACGGTCACAAACCTATTCATTTTGTACGAAACGGTCACAAACCTTCCCCTTTGTTTCTTCTTCCTCTTCATGTCCATTTTCTCTTCTCCCACCTGTAACTCTTTTCTTGACTTAAATGCCTCCTCTGAATAAAAAAAAAGAAAAAAAAATTCATACTCACAATCATCAAAGCAGTTAACAGGTTGCTCTTATTGCTGCTAGGGATGGCAATTTCGACCTGACCCGATTTACCCGACCTGTTTGACCTGTTTTGGGGCGGGTCAAACCCGCCCCGTAGGCGGGGCGGGGCGGGCATGGGTACCTCTCATCGACCCGACCTGCCCTGACCCGCCCCATTCTGGACCCATTCTTGCCTAAATTACATTAATCTTAGTCAATTTACTTAAGATTTTCCTCTTATTATATTATATTTTAGCTATAATAAAGTTGTAAATAAGTGAAAATCTCAATTTCTTCAGTAATTTAACTACATTTTATCATATTATGGTTTCTTTCTTGGTCTTTCAATGAAAAGAATGAATATTTCTAATGTTTTTCACATAAATTACACACCCAATGGGTCGACCTGTCCCGACCCGCGCCCCGTGATAAATTACCCGACCTGGACCCGACCTGCCATGGGGCGGGTATGGGTATCGAGATACCCGCCCCGGACCTGCCCCATTGCCATTCCAAATTGCTGCTACCCAACGCCATCAAATAAGTCATAGAAAGAAGGTATGGAAGATAATAAAGAGAGTAGGTAACACACAAATAATAGAGAAGCAGGGATTGAGACAGAGATAGTCATGGACGAAGATTATGGCCATCAATTTCGGCATTTTGATGGATAGAAGATTATGGGCATCATGAATTTGGCACCAATTATTTTCCTATCATGGCCTTCGATCATAGCATTGATTGACTAGAATCAAACCATAGTTCCCATCAAAGGGATAACTATCTCGACGACAAGCATCTTTAAAGATCGAAATAGCGACATGTGGTTCATTGAGTTGAAGAAATGGAGTGTAAGCTAGCCACCCAACAAAATCAAAAGAAGTTAATTCTAACGAGGACAACAATAGTGCTATACGGAAAGAGCATTGATTTTTTTTTGTCATTCAAGCACTCTCATAGAGAGGAAAGATAAGATCAAAACAGAGTTATTATAAGCTATGAACCCAAGACACAAAGTCGAACATCGCTAGAAGTCGAGGTGACAAAATCAAAGATTTCCTGGCCACTAAATGAGCCTCCCTGTTACGATCCCGTCCCACAAAACGCAAGACAAAGTTACATCCACCATTAACCATTAACGACGCTATTTCCCTTAGAATTGCACCCACCTTTGCGTCATCAAAGTCTCGAGCCAAACGTTGGGGCTGGGCCTGTGATTTGTGGATCCGGTCCTTGGATTATAATTGGGCCACCCACACACGGGGCAGGGTCCAAATTGCTGCTGTAGTCGTAGAACATGGGCCTGGACTTTGCTAGTGGGCTGAATGCTGATACGGAACAGAGTGGGCCTCATTCCCGGACCACGCAGCCCATTTTTTTGAACATAACCCAGTCAAAGAGAAGATCGCGTGGGCTGGAGCGAACCAAATCCAAAACCGACCCGACCCGACCAGCTCATTTACTGCCTGTCTCTCTTCTGTCATCTGCTATCCAATTGCCGCCTTCCCTTCGCACTTCCCACCCGCCATTTCCTCGAACTTTCTTCCTCCCATGTCCTTGTCCCTTCCATCCTTCCTTTCAACCATATAACAAACAAATTCCACCCCCATATCTCCTCAAACACCACCCACTCCTCAATTTCCCAAACCCAATTCCAATTTCCAAACCACCGAAACCAAGAAAAATGGCGACGAGAGCCGGGGGGGAGTTGTTCGAAGATCTGCTGCCGGTGATGGCCGACAAGTTGGGCGGGGAAGGTCTGATCCGGGAGCTCTGCAATGGGTTCCAGCTGCTGATGGATAAAGAGAGAGGGGTGATTACGACGGAGAGCTTGAGGCGAAACGCCGCCGTTCTGGGTCTCCAGGACTTGTCGGACGGCGAGATCGCCGGGATGGTGAGTGAAGGGGACGTGGACGGCGACGGCGCTTTGAATCAGATGGAGTTCTGCGTTCTCATGTTCAGATTGAGCCCCGAGTTGATGAGCGATTCCAGGGCCTGGCTGGAAGATGCCATTGAAGAGGAGTTCAGAGACGACGACGCTGCTGGATTCTGACACTTTTTCTGCTTCTAACGCTAACTCGCCTACTTTCTCTGGTCCTTTAAATTTTTCTCTGGGTATTGAAATTGTAATTTGGATTTTCTCTGTACTCGGCTGTTGTTGGAAATACACTGATTGTTGGAAATGAATAGCAAAATCGTTCGAAGCATACTGAAATTGAATCCCCAAATTGGTGCATTTTTGTTATTTTGGTGTGTTCATTCCTCCAAATTCCTGTTTAGGTTAGGAATTTCCAAGAACTTTCATGGGTGTTTCTCAAAGATGGACAACTACCCAACTCTAGTATGGTATGAACTGAGGAAGTTTGCTTGAGATTGTAGTAGAAGATACCCGGCGCTTAGGTCAATGGACAAATTGAAATACTAAATTATTCGATGAAAAAGTTGTCTCTTGTATTTTTTTTTTTCCAGAATTCTTACTCTATCAATATTGCAAAGTCTCGTGTATAAAGTGGTTGTACCAAGATTCAAAATTGACAATGTGAATGATTTCGACTGTCACCATTTTAATTGGAATATCAATGTGAATGATAGGTATGCAAGTAAAAACTGGGGAAATCATACAGCTCGTTTCCTTTCTGGTAGCTGCATCCAATCCAGTCATCAAATAGATAACTCGAACGAAACACAACTCAAAACCCTAATCTCAGAAACGAAGCACAGAACTATCACAATTCACCACTGCAAGCCAATGATTCTGGAAGAAATTAGCAGTAAGATTTCTAGCTTCACAAACCTACCCCCTCATTTGTCTTGCCTTGAAACCAGAACAAGATGAGCAGCAGTAATATACAGAAACAAAGCAGGCAGTGGCAGTGGCAGTGGTCCTCTCCTCCCAACCATGGAGGCAGCCTGGGACATCGCAAAAGGCAAAAGAAGAAGGAAAGCAAGCAAACAATATCATCACAACTCCTCCAACATAAACAACATTGCTGACATGGACACACTACTGCTTGTTACTAACCTTTCAACAGCACTCTACCTGTAGAATCTGTTTATGATCTAACAATTGTGGGGGTAGAAATCTAACCTTTTCCCCCGCAATAATCATTCTTGTCTAGAGAAGTGGGAAAAAGCAGATAAAGTCCAATCATTTTCTTCCCCACAGGGCAAATAAATACACCCTTCACTGCTGCTGTTGCTGCATCAACATCAAAACAGTACACAGGCTGAGGCTCTCATCTTAAAGAGCTAAAATACACCACCAACATTTTTAGTTACTGTCTATCTTCTTCAACCTAAATTAAGATGGATACTAAATTTGACAATAGATCCACATTAAAGCACCCACCAACACTCACCTTCCTGACCACACTCTCTTCACAAGGAGAAATAAACCAGAACCAGAAACACACCCTCTACACAAGAAAACCTTTCCATGCATTGACTGAGGAGCACCAAAATTAGCGGCCATCTCTATAAATGGCCATATTGTAGCATCATCACATGAGTTGACAGTTAACACATACAGCCATATAACTAACAAAACAGACGCAGTTCCCTCAAGTACCATTACACAACCGACCTGAATCCAAACGACTTAATGCTAACAAAATTCAATCAATCAGATTACTCAGCCAATGTAGACAGACATGGGGAACGAAAGAAGGCTTTGATAATCAAGATGAAACGCAACAGATGAAACTAACAAGCATATGGCAATGGCAAATGCTCGACATCCCACACCACACATTTAGGTTTGAGCATTAAACACATGGTCAAGACATCCCACACCACACATTTAGGTTTGAGCATTAAACACATGGTCAAGCTACTGATGCAGAGCGAATCTAACAAATTTGCTCCTACAACAATTCCAGAATAGAATCAGACAAAGCACACTAACCATATATATAATAAAGAACGAAAGAAATGACGGAGCCAACGAGTACAGAGAATCCGTGCATTCCCAACACCGATCGAAACGACCTAAATGTAGTAGACCAGCTGTTATTTGAATCTTCTTCCCATAGATATCCCATCCTAAACCTGTAACTAATATGGTAAAACTTACCATCCAAAAATAGCATACATAACTAGCAAAGGCATAACACTGGTGGCAATCATAGCAGAAAGTTGAGTGTCCTTTTTTTTTTTTACTATTCCTGGTAATCATACATTATCATCATGAACTGATTTGATTTTATTCTGATTCAAAGTCGAGATCCATCAAACCAACATCAAGCCAGAGACCATTCATTTCCCACCAAGTAATTGATGCAGGTTCTGGCTCCCATCTCTTCTGCCTCCATTTCCCCTCACGATGAAAGGATGATTCAACAACTGGACTGCCGTCCACCTCCTCCCTGGTTCCCTCTGCAAACAACAAGCGAATGAGATCCCTGAACTCCCCCGGAAGCAGTCACGGGAGCCTCCGGCGGCTGCGACATCAAGCTCGCCCAGTCGCCCTGCCTACTCACATCAAATGGGAACCTCCCCAAGTAGAACTCCAAAATGCTCACCCCAAAAAGCTCCATATGTCCCCAGCGTAACCGTCATACTGGCCGTGATTCAACTCCGTGTTGATCCTCTCCGGGCTCATGTAAGCAATGATTCAAGTCCGTGTTGATCCTCTGCGCCAGCACCCTGCTCACCCCGAAATCGGAAATCTTGACGTGCTTGCTGGAATCGATCAGCAGATTGGAGGGCTTGATGTCGCGGTGGACGATCTTGCGGCGGTGGAGGTAAGCAATCCCGCTCAAGATTTGACGAGCGACACCCGACAAAATCAGCCTCGTTAGCGATGCGAATCCCCTCTAGGGATCCGCCATCCATGAACTCGAGCAGGACCTGGATCTCGCCGTTGTGCTCCTACCATGTCATCTTTGCCCAACCCAACTCTTGAACCCAACCCCCTCTTCCCTTCGTGGGTTAATTGCACAGGGTGCCATTTAAGTTTAGCATTTGTTGCGCGGTAATCATCTAAGTACGTTTCGTTGCAACTAAACCATTTACGTTAAATTTTGGTAGCACCGTTACCATTTTTGTCCCCCTTACTAACGGTAGGTGCCAAAAGGTAAATAGCCATGCCACTGGGACTGCCACATCAGCTGTAATATGCCGACTCATCAATGGTGGAGCAGTTTGTGAGGATCGGCGGGAATGTGAAGGGGCTGATTGTCGACGAGAACGGACTGGATGTGGTGATTGGAGGAAGCTGGAAGGGCAGAGCAAGAGAATGGGTACCAGAAGAAGGTTGTCTAGTCTCCGCCGGAGGAGGAAGAAGGCGCAGAGCACGACGAGATTGAAGACGAGAGCACTAGTAGGAATGCGATTCCTCTCCTCCGTGGGAAATCCTTGACCTCGCAGTTCTCGATTCCGTCTGAAACGAGAAACCCCTACGGTAACGCGTCTGTTGCTAGCGGCAGTGAGATTGCGTTGGTGTCGGCAGTCGTAGAGAAACCTAAGTCCAGTCCACAATTCAGTTCTCCGCCTCGCCCACAGCCGGCTGCTCCCCTGATGTCGCCGCCCTGACTGCCATCGCCAGTAACCAAGCAGCCGCCACCTCCGCCACCGCTCCAAAACAAGGCTCTAGCGCCGCCTCCGCCAGCTCCTCCGAGGAAACCAAACGCTCCACCGCCGCCTCCTCCGGGCAAGGCCGGTCCTACATCTAGACAAACGGCGAACGAAAGCAACGAAAAATCAGGCGAGTCATCCGGGAGCGGCGCTCAAGTAAAGTTGAAATCATTGCATTGGGATAAACTGAACAAGAACAATGCCGATCATCCAATGGCCTGGGACAAACTCCACGGAGCTTCTTTCAGGTAAGACTAACTCAATTCAATTAATCTAAGTTGTTCACTTATTAATCTCAACAATTTCCTTAAAAGACTCAATTAATTCCTGGATAATGATTGTCAAAACTGGAATTACTGTTTCTGCAGAGTGGATGGTGATCTAATGGAAGCGTTGTTCGGGTACGTAGCCACGAACAGGAAATCCCCAAATAGCGAAGGCGGCGGCAGCAGCAGCCATTCGAACAATCTAAACCATAACCAAAATCTCGCGGCCAGCCCAAGATCGCAGATCGTAATTCTCGACCCGAGGAAGTCTAAGAACATCGCCATTGTGTACTCAAATCCATATCAATTTCTCGCAAGGAGCTTTTTGAGTCATTGATGGACGGCCACGGCCTTGATGCGGATCTTCTCGAGAAGCTCACAAGAATTGCACCGACGAAAGAGGTAGAAACCCAGATCTTGGAATTCACCGGAGGCCTGACCCGGCTCGCAGATGCCGAGTCCTTCCTCTACCATCTGCTCAAGGTGATCCCCTCCGCATTACCCGTGTAAACGCCATGCTTTTCAAGGTGAATTACGCTTCAGAGGTTGCTCAGCTCAGGGAGTCGCTCCTTACTCTGGATATGGGATGTAAGGAGCTCAGAAACAGGGGATTGTTCGTGAAGCTTCCGGAGGCGATTCTGAAAGCCTGGAATCTGATGAATGTCGTTTCCAGAGAGAACGCTAAAGCTTTCAAGCTGAGCTCGCTCACAAAGCTCACTGACGGGAAGACAACTCTGCTTCACTTCGTGGTGGAGGAAGTGGTGAGGGCGGAGAGGAAACATTGCGAGAAGAGAGGATTGGTTTATTTATTGGATTTAAATGAGGTTGGGCTAGATATGAGTCAGCATACTACAGCTGATGTGGCAGTCCTAGTGGCATGGTTATTTTCATTTTGGCACCTACTGTTAGTCATGAGGATGAAAATTGTAACGGTGCTACCAGAATTTAACATAAATGGTTTAACTGCAACAAAACGTACTTAAATGGTTATCCTGCAACAAATGCTAAACTTAAGTGGCACACTGTGCAATTAACCCTCCCTTCGTCTACAATCTCTAGCTCTCTCCCGATGCTAAAAAATAGCAGCCACATTGTATTGTCGAAGCAGCCAACCACCACGAAGACCCCAACAAATGAACAAAATCAACACGAGGACCATCAACACTACCATAATCATGGCCCAATTGACGGAGGCATGAGGGTGAGAAATTATGTACGCTGTACGCACCGGCCGACTCGCAAATCTTCTCTAGGCTGAAGGCTAATTTTATTTTAAGGCCGTTTCGAATTACTACAACCAGGTTCTTGAAGTCTCCAGTTTATTTCCCCCTCCTCCGCCCCCAGATCGTCCCTCCCTTATCCTCCTCTTGCCGCATTGTAGCCTCCACCAGGTATTTTTTTGAAGATTAACTTCGATGCATCTGTTGGCGACTCAAGATGTTCGTCGGGCTTTATTATCCGTGAGTCAGACGAACATGTGGTGCTGGTAGTCGGTTTGCGTCACCTTGGGGTAAGAGATGCTATCAGCATCTCGCTTCAAGATCTTTGACTCACGTGATAGTGGAAGGAGGTTCTGAGGTGGTGCTCAATCAGAGTCGGAAAATTGTCCTAGAAGACTCAATTGGAGGTCTAGTTCTCCATGAGTGTCGTCATATCTTAGACTCTTTGTGAGTTTGTATAGAGTTTAGTTTACGGCGGTTCCTAGGGCCACCAATAGTGCCGCCCATAGACTGGCACGTAAATCACTGATTTTGTCTCTCCTAAAGCTAGAGTCTTTTGATTTTTTTGGTTGGTTTCGCTCGGGTGTTGATTGTACGGGGTTCCTGGGTAGTTTTGTTTGAATAACTCTTGTACTCTCTTTATATGACTCTGGGAAACAAAATTGGGTATTGGGATTTGATTGCACGTCGATGACCAAGAGAAGAGAAATGTTCTTGTCAAGAACCAGTTGATCCCAATAACTTGAGTTGTTGGGAGGTTCAATAATGGATCTTATACCACTCACTAACACACCCCATCAAACGAAAGTTAGTCAGCTCATAAGGGCTTTCGTTTGCACATGTCCTGAATACGAGAATACATAGGCTTCACAAATGGGGTCACCTGGATTTGAACACAAGACCTCTCAGTCACATAAGGCTCTAATACTATGTCAAGAACCAGTTGATCCTAATAACTCGAGTTATTAGGATAGGTTCAATAATGGATCTTATACCACTCACTAATAGTTCTCCCAAGTCGGTTTAAGGTTTGTCCTGTTTGACGTTTGGAGGACGAGAAGGAATGAAATATAGAGAGAAGATCATATTTTGATACGAGGGGTAAGGTTAGATTTTAATGAAAGGGACAGAGGTAAAAAAAAAAAAAAAATTGTAAAGATTTCAAATATGCTGATAGAGATCGTGTATTTGAAAAACTTACATTTAAAGGAAAACCAAAGAAAACTTCATAGAGATGTTGAGCCGTGATTATAGTTGTAAATGTGTCAAATTACTCACAAGCAGTTTAACGTTCGTCTTAGGAAAACAATTCGTTCAACAATCAACTCGTTTACTAACGATCCAAGTTTGACTTAAGCTTTATTCGGCTCACAATGCTCCCGGGACAACTGGACTCAGTTGTTTGTTAAGCTCGACTAAGTGAGCTAGGTTGTTTCGAGCTATGAGCTAGCAAGACAGTTGACTAGCGAGTCACCTTACATAACAATTTATAAGCGAATCAATTGATAACATATCATTGATTTGTTGATAACTCATAGGTTTCATCATACCACAGATATTTAAAATTTTGGCCACGTGATCAAATATCTCTCATTTATAATTATAAATAGGAATTATGTACCCAGTGACGTAGCCAAGATTTTATTCAAGGGGATAAGATTTTATTCAAGGGGATACCGTAAAAAAAGTACATATGCAGTCTCATGTTTCATATTGTGAAATTATTCTATAATTATATGAAATTATGGACCGTTTTACTAATTCGAATGACCAACGTTGATATTGATTATTGATTTTTTTCCAGTGAGTAAAAAAGCCCAGTGACCCAACCTGGCATTTACCCAGCACCTATGTGGATAGCAGGATGTCATCTATCATTGCTCTACTGGTATACAAGTAAACACTGGGTCATACTCAACAAAACCTTAACAGTTTCCTTTCTAGTAGCTGCATACAATCTAGTCATCATCATCACATCAATAACTCGAACAAAACACAACTCAACTCAAAACCCTAATCACAGAACGAAGCACAACACTACCACCATTGCAAGCCAGCGATTCAGGAAGAAACAGCAGTCAGAGAGCAAAATAGATGAGGAGCAGTAGTAAAATACAGAAAGAAAGCAGGCAGTGGCAGTGGTCCTTCCTACCAGCCAGAGAGGCAGCCTGGGACATCACAAAAGGCAAAAGAAGAAAGAAAGCAAGGAAACAAAATCATCACAACTCCAACAACAACAACAAAAACTGCTGACATGGACATGGAAACACTACTGCTTATCACTAGCCTTTCTCTACCTGTGGAATCTGCATATGATCTTGCAATTGTGGGGAGTGGGGTAGAAATCTAACCTTTTCCCCCCCATTAGATCACTAATGTCTAGATGGGGGAGAAGAGAAGTGAGAAAAAGCAAATAAGAGTTCAATCATTTTCTTCCCCACTAATAAATACAACCTTCTCTTTTCTGCTGCTGATGCTGCATCAACATCAAAAGTCAAAACAGTGCAGGCTGGAGCTCCCTCTTAACTCTTAAGAGCTAAAATACACCAACAACATTTTTAGTAACTGTCTATCTTCTTCAACCTAAATTAAGATGGATACTAAATTTGACAATAGATCCACATTAAAGGAGAAATAAACCAGAAACACTCCTCCACCAGAACCAGAACCAGAAATACACCACCAAAATTTGTGGCCAGCCTCTATAAATGGCCATATTGTAGCATCATCACATGAGTTGCCAGTTACTACTTACATCCATATAACTAAAAAAAGCAGATGCAGTTCCCTCAAGTACCATTACACAACCGACATGAATCCAAAATGACCTAATCCTAATAAAATCCAATCAATCAGATTACACAACCAATGTAAGCAGACAGGGGAATTGATATAGTAAGGAAAGAAAGCTTGATAATCAAGATGAAATGCAACAGATGAAACTAACCAGTAAGCATAGGGTAATGACAAATTCTCCACATCCCAAACTACACATTTAGGTTTGAGCAATAAACCCATGGAGGACATACAGACATCAATCATCATGGTCAAGCTACTGATATGCTGAGTGACTAACGATTTTGATCCTAGAACAATTCCAGAATAGAATCAGGAGAAGCACACTAACCATATAAAAGAAAGAACGAAGGAAATGACGGAGCAAATAAGTACAGAGAATCCGTGCAATCTAACACCAATAAAAATGAACCAAAAGTACTAGACCAGCTGTTATTTGAATCTTCCCATAAATATCCCATCCTAAACCTGTAACCAATATGGTAAAACTTACGATCCAAAATCCAATATTTGCCGCAAACAATCCCATGAATGAAAATAGCACAGTGAGCTCAAAGCAGAAAGCATACATAACTAGCAAAAGCATAATTCTGGTGGCAATCATAGCAGAAAGTTGAGTTTCCTTTTTACTTTCCATGGTAAACATACATTGTCATCATGAACTGATTTGATTCTGATTCAAAGTCGATCCATCAAACCAACATTAAGCCCGACCATTCATTTCCCACCAAGTCCTAATCCGAACCACCATATCAAAAATTACAGAAGAGGAGAAAAAATGGCAGTTGGAAAGCAAACTTTCCCTGATAATACGAACAAGACCAAGGGCAAACCCCAAAACGATCAAGTAAGACAACCGGTATCAAGAAAAGAGGGTTGGTGAAGGCCAATACTATGATGAGAGTGGGCGTGGAGGAGGCAGTAATTGATGCAGGTTCTGGCTCCCATCTCTTTGGCCTCCATTTCCCCTCACAACGAAAGGATGATTCAACAACTGGACTGCCGTCCACCTCCTCCCTGGTTCCCTCTGCAAACAACAGGCGATGAAATCTCTGAACTCCCTGGAAGCTGTCACGGGGGCCTCCGGCGGCTGCGACATACAAATAGCACACATCAAGCTCGCCCAGTCGCCCTGCCTACCCACTGCAAATGGGAACCGCCCCAAGTAGAACTCCAATATGCTCACCCCCAAGCTCCATATATCCCCAGCGTAACCATCATACTGGCCGTGATTCAAGTCCGTGTTGATCCTCTCGGGACTCATGTAAGCAATGGTACCCACGGAGGAGTTGCAAGGGTCCATGGTCTGCGCCAGCACCCTGCTCACCCCGAAATCGGCAATCTTCACTTGCTTGTTGGAATCGATCAGCAGATTGGAAGGCTTGATGTCGCGGTGGACGATCTTGCGGCGGTGGAGGTAAGCAATCCCGCTCAAGATTTGACGAGCGACACCGGACAACTCAAGCTCGTCAGCGATGTGAAACCCCTCGAGGGATCCGCGATCCATGAACTCGAGCAGGACCTGGATCTCGCCGTTGTGCTCGTACATTTCGTGACACCTGACGACGTTTGGGTGGCTGACGTCGCGGAGAATCAAGATCTCCCTGCAGATCTGGTTGCGGACGGAGTCCTCGTGGTTCCCGTAGATCACCTTGAGCGCGAAAACCCTGCCGGATTGCCTGTGAACCACCTTGTAGACGGTGCCGCCCATGCCGCTCCCAATCCGGTTCATCCGGTCGAGCTCGGAGAAGCCGATTACCTGGCGCGCCGCCTGCTGCTGCTGCTGCGGGTGGCTGGTGGAAGTAGCGGCGGAGGTGGACGACGGCGGGAGAGGGAGAGGGACGGCGACCGTCGGCTCCCGAGGCGGGAGCGGCAGGCTTAGGTTAGGACGCCTGCGAGGCTTCTGATTCGACATAGATGAAACAGCCGCGACGGCGGCGGCGGTACCTTGAGGAGGCTGAATCGGTCTCATGACTCCGGCCTGCGAGGCTTGTTCTTGTTCTTCTTCTCCTTTCTTCACCGCTCCTTGTTTCGTCGGCGGCTATCTGAGAAATATCCGCTTCTTGATTTCTTTCTTATCGTTCTTTCTTCTGTCTTTGATGGATCGATGCGGTGGAGGAAAACGAAATCGAAATCACCGTCGGGAGGAATATAATGCGGGCGGCGGCGGCAGGTTCGCGTGGATTTCCCGATCAAACAACTCCATGAAAAGGAGGGAGGAAGAAGGGAAAAGCCTCTGGTTTCTGGGTTGGACGGATTCTGATTTTTTTTTTCTCCTTCTGGGAGATAGAGAGAAGATTCTGGGAAGAGAGAAATGAGAGGAAAGAGGAAGGAAAATGTTAGATTGGGGAGGAAAAAAAGGATATAAAAGGCGAGAAAAAAGAAAATGAAAGAGAGAGGGAATGGGAGAGGAAGAGAATATTTATTTATTTATTCTTCCTTTGGTTTTTTATTAATTAATAATGAGTTTTATTATTTGGCGGGGGTGGGGTGAGGTGGAAAATGTGGATTGAGGGAAATTCCTTATCACGATATAAAAAACATGAACAAAAATAAATTTAATTCATGAAAATGATTTTCTTACTTACACTCGTGGATTTATTAATTCGTCATCATCAACATCAGCAATTAATTTTGTTATAAAGATGTTGCACTTGCACCAAAAAAAATAATTGTTGTATAAGGATGTTTTCACATAAATTTAGTTAATACACGAGTGAATTTGCTTGAAAAAAATTAAAATATATGAGTAACAACGTCCTAGCACAAAGAGTTCGACAGGATGACGATCCTTCCTAGAGTGATCATCTCAATGGTCAGTACGAAGGACTCATCGCACGTATTTTGGAGCCCTGTTCTGCACGAGAAATAGGCCTTGCGAACTTCTTTTCAACGTGCTATGTTACATTTCATGCCTCGTACGTGCACCGCATCGATGAACCGTAATCTTTCCGTGGCTTAAGTTTAGGTAGAATTCTTCGATTAATTGTTTGAGAATTAAGGTTGACTTGAGCCAAAAGCACGATCAACAAACCCAAGAAAACATTAAAACCCTGATAACTGCATTATTTGAAATTTGGAGAGTTGACCTTGGCCACAAGCCCACAACTTGGTCATGCAAACAGCAGTAAAGCTCATGAAGAAAAAGAGACGCCAGTCCACCACAGCCGCTGAGTCAATAGTTGACTCAGTCAGAGAGACCGAGGCGCGTACATGTTACAGAGACTTCATCATGGACGTATATAATATATAAATGTGTATTAACTGCATGCTGATGAAGGCCAATAAACACTGCAAATCCTAAGAAATGAACAGCATCAGCTACTTTACTTCTGAAAGACTGTTTCAGACTGAAGAAATGATCGCCAAAGCCAGCCCTGCGCTGTCTTCCATGCAACAGCTGCAGCAAACATATAACTCTCAGTAGGACACAGTTGAGAAAGAACCCACTTGGAGAAAATCCCCCAAAATTCTGGAGATTGACCTGGACAAACGCATTCATGAACCTACATGAGAAATTTCAAGCAATTCCGCTCTCTATGTAGAGTAATTCTTCTAACCGCTATAGTATAACGGAGCGCAACATTCCATAGCTGGAGTTTTTCCCCCAAGCTCCAAATTCCCACAATTTACATGTTTATCCACTATTGCTAGAAATGTACCCGGTCTTACGTCATGGTGTTTCAATGTAGTTATAAAAAGCAAGTGTAGATAGTACCACTTAAACATTCTAGCTTAGCACACATGCAAACCATGTCAATGAAAGGGATAAGATGTGGATCAGTGAAATGGAAGAATTCATGGATTATAACAAATATGATATAGTTGTTATACATACAGCTTTCAGAAACTCTCTCACGAGCGTATATTGAATCACGTACAGTCATTGCATAGGTTGACCTGTTAAGCACATATGAAGCCATGATCAAAAGAGTGACTTCATTTGAGACTTGCAAGAGCTGGCTTATCTCCAACAACGTAAATACAAAAGTACACTAATCCACCTCTAGAAATGAATAAGTTGTCCAGCATTGAAACAAAGATACTACCATCATTGCATAAAGAACACTGTATGGCAGATATTGCTCACACATTCACAGATAAATCTAACGAGATTGATCAAAGATGAAACATCAAAGGTATAAAACCACTTACTCGGTTATAACAAGGTCTAGTTCTTGTGGATCAATTTGTGCGGCACCAAGATGTCTATCTGGAGTTACATTGTCGTCACCTATGTATACCATAGATGCATCTCCTACCTTTGCATAAACCATTGCAGCTCCAAGAACCTTGAGGGAAAAGAGGTATTAACATAACACAAAATTTTAAAACTGAATGCAACACATCTGACTAAGGGTAAATTTTAATCTTACATGTCCTGGATAGTAGGCCCGAATTTGAAGATCCTTACCAACTTGCACATTATGCTTCAGATCAATTGGGGCGACTGCATAAGGAAAATTAAGAAAAAATTACCAACATTTAGCATTCTTCCACAAATTGAAACTCTGGAGAGTACAGCTCATCAGATATATTCAGGAACTCTCAAGTAATAACTGTCGAACCTCAGATTGCAATCAGCTAAATGAATTCACAAATTAAGGTACACCAAAAACACCCGTTTTTACAACTTCTGTCAATGAATTGCTTAGTTGCAGTACGACATCTCAAACAATGTATCAATTTATCTATGAGCACAACACAAGAGTTAGTTGATGCTCTCGCCAACTCATTGGCTACTGACTGTTTCTTGCAGAAGCAGTGGAAAAGCCCTGGAACTCACAGCAGAGTTCCAAGAACGTTCGTATAATCGGTTGTGGAACATCCAACCCCCAAACACACATAGGTTCAAGGATATGTAGATTCAATGAGATGTTAAACTGATTCAGCAGCTAAACTTTGGAGCGTCGCATACACACAAAGAAGATGAAAATTCTCACAGAATCCTACTCATTAAGCCAATTAACAATGTAACTCGCCCATTACAGGAAACTGTGAATCACTGTAGCAAAACAAGTAGGAACAGGACAAAGCAAACAGAAACGTTGAGCCACACTTACAAGTGAGCGATAATCACACAATCTAGGGAGCCACCATATGACAGGAAAATCAGGACAACGCCCTTCATCACTGTGACCCAAGTGCAGCCCACAATCAAACATGATCCGCTTCCCATTGATTGTTACTACCACGCAGCTCTTCTCAATTTCTCGCCCAGCGCCTGCAACCGGCCAGCCAGCATGAGAAAACCATCAAGGTAGAAAAACTGGAGAGCAGAAAGCACACAAAGTAAACGTACCAAGAACTAAGCATTCGATGGCCATGAGAGTTGAAAGGATTCTCTCTCGCTTCAAGCAGGAGAAGAAAAAGGATCCAACCGCGGGTGGCCACCGTCGGACAAGCAGAAGACGCGGCAGTGGAGATGGGGTTATAGGATAGAACAGGCAATGTAGTTAAAACAGTGGAGCAGGATCCGTTCCCAAAGTGACGAAGGCGCCGGCCGGCGGCCAGCAGTTGAGGAGGAAGATGGTCGGAGCTGGTGAATGTCTGATTGCGAGAAACGTTGGGTCGTCGATTCAAAAACCCTTATCCGCCATCGCCGTAAACCCTTTCTTTGCTCCGGTGGGTCGGGTTGGATTGTGCGGGTGGTTCGGATAAATGTACGGTACCCGAACGGGGGAGATTTGTAGTAACACGTGGCAGGCTAAAACAAAGATGGGCTCCTCTTCTCACGTAAACCTTAGCCCACTGGATAATGGCCCAGCCCAACTAAGCCGATTAGCCGTGGGCCCAGGCTGTGGCGGAGCGGAAATGATCTCCTGCTAACTGAATTTCCCACCAAAAGTAACAAACGTACAAAACCAAAAACTCTCTGCACTGCTCCACTTTTTTTTTTCCCAGAAAGGAAGAACAGAGAGTACCAGTTGGAAAATCTCTCCATTTTCCGCCGGGAAAATTCTCTCTCCTCCAAGAAAATCCACAGAGGAGAAGGACTCAGTTAATGCGCGCATCATGAAGCAACGACGGCGCGGATTGTTTCTGCGGTTCTTGACTGCGTCGCTGCTCTTCTTGCTTGTTGCGTCTGTTTCTCAGGCGAGGCCGCGCCCTGGACGAGGTGAGTTCAGTTTCTTGCTCCGATCGTCCCTGATCTCGAAATCGATTCAGTTCCTCTGTTCGTAGCTTTCTTCGATTCGTTTTGCTTGTTGCTGGATTAGGAAATCTGCTTCTAGGTTTGAAGAACTTGTTTTCTTTCTTTCTTCGTTTGATCTCTTCGATCGCTTTCCTGAAAGCCAAACAGAACGGCGATTCCTTTGAGGTTCTACTTTAAATCAGCTTTGGCAAAACGATTTTCCAATGGTTCTATTTTCACGGGAAGCAATCAGGACTGATCCATGTTTAAGGCTCTTGATAATAGGCCGTGTTCATGACCGCTCTATATTTGCCTGCTGAGTTACTGTGAAAATGCCTGAAAGAGAGGAAAAGAGGGAGTGAATTCGCACTTCAAATAGGTTGCATGATCAAGAGCAGTACAATTATGATCTTTCTTGTTTTTTGTCGTGTGTTCCTATTAAGTTTCAACTAATCAATTGGTTCTGATTTTGGGTCGTCGATTAATGTCTGTGCAGAACCAAGTTATCTCAAGTTCGTAGCAAATGCCACTGAGTTACCATCGGAGGAAAACTATGACTACGTTATCGTTGGTGGAGGTACCGCCGGTTGCCCTCTGGCGGCCACGTTGTCGCAATCCTACAAGGTTCTTCTCCTCGAACGCGGCGGAGTTCCCTACGGCAGACCAAGTTTGATGACGCAAGAGGGCTTCTTGTCCACGCTCACAAACGTCGACTCGTTTGACTCAGCTTCCCAATCCTTCGTCTCGGAAGAAGGTGTCCCCAACGCAAGAGGGCGGGTTCTTGGTGGAAGCAGTGCGATAAACGCCGGATTCTACAGCAGGGCAGACCCAGATTTCTATCAGTACTCTGGCGCCAATTGGGACCTCAGAGTGGTGAATGAGTCCTACGAATGGGTTGAGAGGGCCGTCGTGTTTAGACCGGAGCTTAGAAACTGGCAATCAGCAGTCAGAGATGGGTTGTTGGAGGCTGGGGTCGATCCTTACAATGGTTTCAGTTTGGATCACGAGGTGGGGACGAAGATTGGAGGCTCTACCTTTGATGGCAGAGGGAGGAGGCATAGCGCTGCTGACCTGCTCAACTATGCCAATGCCAGCAACATAAATGTGGCCGTTTATGCAAGCGTGGAGAGGGTGCTGCTGGCATACAGCGGCCCTCGTGGAAGCTCGAGGTCTTCCATTTCAGCCATCGGCGTGGTGTATCGAGATCGGATGGGGCAGTATCATCACGCCATGGTGCGTGAGAATGGGGAAGTGATCCTCTCAGCTGGTGCCATTGGGACTCCTCAGCTGCTGTTGTTGAGTGGGATTGGCCCAAGGCCTTACCTTTCTTACTGGGGGATTCCTGTGGCCTACCATCTTCCATACGTGGGGCAGTATCTCTATGACAATCCTCGGAATGGGATCTCATTCGTGCCTCCAGTGCCACTGGAACACTCGCTGATACAAGTGGTTGGCATCACCGAGCTCGGAGCATATGTTGAGGCAGCCTCCAACGTGATCCCATTTGTATCCCCTGCGCGTTCAGTCTTCATCAGGGCACCATCTGCGCCGCTGTACCTGACGGTGGCCACTCTGATGGAGAAGATCGTTGGCCCACAATCTGTTGGGTATCTGAGGCTGGCCTCTACAGATGTCAGGATGAACCCACTGGTGCGTTTCAATTACTTCTCAAGCCCTATTGACATGGAGAGGTGTGTGAACGGGACCCGCAAGCTCGGGGATGTGCTGAGAACCCGTGCTATGGCGGACTTCAGGGTTCGTGACTGGTTCGGTGTTCGGAACTTCAGGTTTGTCGGGCCAGCACTGCCTGTGGATCAGTCTGATTTCGAGCAGATGGCTGATTTCTGTCGACGGACTGTTAGCACCATATGGCATTACCATGGAGGCTGCGTGGTGGGGAAAGTGGTGGATGCTGACTACCGTGTTTACGGCATTCGGTCACTGAGAATCGTGGATGGCTCAACGTTAACAATCTCGCCAGGCACCAATCCACAGGCCACTCTCATGATGCTTGGCAGGTGAGCTATAGCTTCGTTACAGATTCAATCTAGTTTGTTCGGGTGAATCAAATGAGAAACTAACTGCAGACATTTCTGCTGACGAATTCTATTGACAGATACGTCGGCCTCAAGTTAATCAAGGAGCGAGAAGTACAACCTGCGACGAAGTCTGATTCTGGCGACCTGTAGTGTAACTGACCTTGTAGAAGGGATACAGCAGGTACTTCATTATCAGTAGTCTGTATGTTGGAGTTCATCTGAAGGTGTTCAGTTTTGTACTTAGGATATTGACAGTTTGTATGCAATTCTATCATGCCTATAGAATGAAATGTTAGGCGGTATACAAGCAATGAAGCAACTCATGTTTCTTCATTGCCAAATGGAGAGGTTGGTAATATGACTGATGAAGTTGTACATGGGATAATGAGAGGATGATGGTTCATCTCTCTTTGGTAAGAAACTTGTTTGAGTTTGACTTCCCATCAAACTATCTAGCTAAGTTGTTGTCTGTATATGATGAATTTGATTTCAGCAACTATGTTGAACAACAAATTTTACCTCAGTCTTCAGTGAGTTTTCATAGCAGTCATCTAGCTTATTTTCATCCCTGTTTGTGTACTGCTGGGTGAAATGCCTTCTGGGTATATGGGGAGGGAGTTAACCCCGTACCGTTCTATCCAGATAGGCTAGGGTTTCATGATCTGTATCATGGTTGTGGTTGTTGTGACTTCAACGTTGACAGGCTTACGGTATCGTGGCTTCAGTGCCACGGGCATAGGGTGATACCCCAGCCCCGAGGTCTCGTGTGTAAGAACACTCCTAATGAGACAGCCGGGTTGCGACTACACTCCCTTTGAACTCTATATTTCTTAAGACCTCTCATGTCGAGATGCTTGCAACTAAAAAATGTAACTCAAGGTTCAGGGATGTTCACCTCATTTTGATGAGAGAAACCCTCAATCACTTCAGTACAAAAACAAATGCAATCAGCTATGATTTGCTTATAACCACGCCTCCACTGGACGGCCAATTTCCACTTTCCTAATGAACTCTTGGCCCTACTGGACAGTAAGAACTCGACAATCTTGTCGTGCGCTGCTGGCAGATCCTTGTGCCCATCCAGGAAAGCAGAAATCTCACCTCTGAATGAGCATAGCAACTTCCCCACCTCCACAGGGCAATTCATATCTTGGATTCTTTCAATAACAGACAGCAGCAGATCATCTTCTTCTGTTGTTGTTGGGAGTGACTGCAGAACCTCGTGGCACTTCTTGGACAGCAATCGCGAGGCATTTATCTCGTTGTCTTCTGAAAGTTGCGATCCAGAATACACAAGGTGCAAGATGGATCTCCGCTGCTGTGGAGAGCTGACGTAGAAGCGCAAAGCAGAGAGCAAGGCAAACGATGGCTTCCCATCTGCATGGAGATATATCGAGTCTTGGGGCCATGAAGTTAACGAAAGGATTCCAGGTTCCAAGGGGATGAATGCCTTTTCATTCAGATTTTTGGCTAGCAGAAACCCGTAGTGTTCAAGAAGGTCCAGATTTGTGTATGTTCCATAGGCCAAGAGAACCTTCAATGCAAAGCATGCCATAAAATCAAAGACAATTTAGCTACGGACGAAGAACGTTCGAAAAAATCAAACTCAGGGAGATTTCAAAATACCTGCTCGCCCTTCTTATAATCTCTCCTAGCATAGAAGCAATAAGCAGCAAGGTGGTCTTCAAATCCAGCATCAACAAACGAATCCAAATGCGAGTTAAGCCCCTTGGTGGTTAATTGATCCGAAGCGATCCCATTAGCCAAAAGACCATCCTCTAGGAATGATTCACTCGTGTGACAACCACCGTCAAGGCCACTTGATTCTTCCCCAGGAGCAGCATAGTTGAAGAAGTCTCCAACTGGACACAAAGTCCCGGCTTCATCCCACGATACATGCATTGTCCTCGATGATATCTGCACACAATCAAGTTCATAAGCGACTTTCAAATATCCGACAGCAAATACAGTGCTCACAAAGATGTAGAAGAGGAGCAAGCTGTGCTAGGAAATGAAGACAGACAACTTCTCTTTCCTTCTAACAGAACTGGCTTCAAGTATCAACATCCAGGTGAATAAGAGATGATGCATTATCCTTTCAGCATACAAAACAGGACACAAGTCTGCTCACCGTTGCACAAACCCAAGTCCACGCCCCGAAACTTCGAAATTTAGGCTTGAATTGGAGCTGTTCCATTACTAGCTTAGCTTGTCTCCATTCCATTTTCGCCTTCAATATAGCCTTCTCAGCAGTCCACACGGCGTCATCAACCTATAACCATAACACACAGCATTCTTCTCAGACATGACCAAATCAACAAAACAGGAAGACCCAGAAGCAGAAAATCGAAGACAGAAAAAGAACAAACTGAACTTGCAGAGCTTGCTTTTCGAACTCACTGAAAGTTGCTAATGTATCATATCCACGGGGCAATTGCTTCAAGTACGGCCACCACCATGAATCTCTGCCTTTACCCATTTCGTGCAACAAGCATACCCCCAGCCTCTGCAACAAAGTTCCGAACTTTAACAACACCATAAAAAGCCAAAAGCTCGATTTATTTACACAGCAGAGAGAATTCCAAAACCTGGGTCGGGGACAGAGAAGGGTGGCCATTGACGGCGGATGACAGCTTCGGGTCATCTCCCAACAAACGAATCGTCGTGAACAGAGCAGCTTTCGGGACTCTGAGAACCAATTCTCCTTTCCTGAGATCGCGGGCGGCGCCCAGACCTCTTCCTCCGGCGTCAGGGAAGTGGGAGACGACGAGGGAATTGCCCAAACAGCGATTCGAGTTTTGCTGCGACATGGAATTGCAGGGCGAATCTGTGACTCCAAGCTCCGCGGCCCAGGCGAGGAAGCTGTCGAGGTGGTGGTCTTCTCTCCGGGCTTCTTCCTCCATAACTACTCTGTCTTTCGGTTGCTTCTCAGTTTCTCAGCTGCTCTGCTCGGCTACGTTTCTGAAACCACCGTCACTTCCGGTTCGGTGAGGAAAGACCTAATTCTGCAAACTGGGTTGGCGGGCGGTAGGGATGGTAATATGGTTGTGATTTTGCGGTTAAACCAACCCTTCCGAAACCGCGCAGTTTGTGGTTAACTACATACGGAATACGAAGATCCTTTTGCCGTCGCATTTAGTGATATCAGTTTCTTTTTGTAGTTAGCGGTTTAACCGAAATCGAATAAGAACTAATTCAGCGGTTTGTGATTAATCGCAAATCGAACTAGAACTTAGAGGTCCTTCTGGTTCCGTCTTGCATGTTGTCGTCTAAAATCCACTCTTCAACACACAAGGGCTCCCCGTGATAAACCATCGACCACAAGGCACACACCGCCTCCATAGCACGCTAGCACCTTCCGCACCTTGTTGCTGTGAAAGTGATTGGCACCGCGATTAACCGCAGTTAACTGTTAACCGTTTGTGTTGTGGTTGCGGTTGGCATATATGACTCCATTTCAACCGCGATTAACGCAAATTTAACTACTATTAACCGCCGCAACTGCACTGATTGCTAGCCCTAACGGGCGGGTCAAATTTTTTCTGGTTTTCTTTAAGTTCCCAGAACCCAGCCCAAACCTCACCTGAAGCCCAATTTGATTTTGGATTTGGTTAGCAATGTTTGCAATTATTTTTTATTTTTTATTGGAACTTAGGAACTTATTCCTAAATTGGAATACAATTTTAAAATATACAACAATAATTTTGTAAGAAAATCCAACAACAAGCTATTTGGCGAACTCTACGTCGTCGGTAGGGATGGCAATGGGTCGGGTTGGGTCGGGTTTTGCCAAACTCAAACCCAAACCCATGGGTTTATCTTTGAAAAAAACCCGAAGTAAAACCCACCGGGTTTCAAAAACTCAAACCCAACCCGTTGGGTACCCGCGGGTTCATGGGTACCCGCGGGTTTTGTAGTAAAAAATTTACAATTACAATTTCTTATCAAAATTAAAATCAAATATCAATCTCTCAATACAAATTATCCATATATAAAACACCATTCCAGAAAATTCAAGCAAATCACAAATTAACTATACAAATTGTTCAACACCAATCTAGAAAACTCAAAAAAATTGAAGCAAATCACAAATTTTCCATAAATAACATGTTTAATTGAAAGCTTCTTCCTTTCAATTAAGTTTATTTACTATCCACTCCATAACATCAACTTCATTCTACACAATTAAAAAGAAAAAATTAGACATGTCTCCACAAACATAAATAAGATTAGTTGTTTAGAATATTAAATATACCGAACAAATTAATTATATGGGTGGGCGGGTACCCACGGGCCGGGTTTACCTAAACCCAAACCCAACCCAACCCGTTGAATAGTGAACGGGTTTAAACCCAAACCCGGCCCAAAATCCGTCAACACGGATTTTACCCGCGTTGACCGAGTTGGGTCGGGTGGGTACCCGTGGGTTCGGGTTTTGTTGCCATCCCTAGTCGTCGGTCCTCCCTCTCCACTGCTTCACCTCTGGAAATCCCACGCAGGATCGCTGCACTAGGGTTTCGTTGGTTACTGCTCCGTTTCTCACCTCACCGCTGCTCCGATTTCCATGGCGGGAGCTGGAATTCACCCTTATCACCAGCAGTGGCCGCCGGCTCCTGCTCCGCCGCCACCGTCTGCTGCCGCGGCGGGGCCTCCTCCTCCTTCAGTCCATTACCCTCACCCGCCTGCTGCTATGGTCGATAATTCGAACCGCGGCCCTACACACGACGAGGTAACCACTATCCGCTTCGTCTCATCTTCAATTCCTGGTTTTCTTTTTATCGAATGCCGATGTTTCAAGTCGAATACTTGAATTGACCTGGAAATTTGATAGGTTCGCACGGTTTTCATCACGGGGCTGCCTGAAGATGTGAAGGAGAGAGAACTCCAAAACTTACTGAGGTGGCTGCCGGGTTATGAAGCTTCGCAAGTGAACTTCAAAGGAGAGAAGCCCATGGGATTTGCTCTTTTCTCCGCTGCTCAATTTGCCATTGCTGCCAAGGATGCGCTTCAGGTTCCGTTTCGTGTGAATGCAACTCTGAGTCTGTTGCTTCTTTACTTGGTTCATTGCATCTGGGCTGATTGGTCTCACTCTCTCTTTTTATTTGTTGTGTGATGTTTAGGACATGGTTTTTGACGCAGAGTTGAAGGCAGTCTTGCACACTGAAATGGCGAAGAAAAATCTTTTTGTTAAAAGAGGTAGTTGTTTCTTGTGACCTTGTGGTTGTTTCAATTTTTTGTACCAAGAAGAAAGAATGGTTAAATATTGTCTGGCCTGCATGGTGAATTCTTATTTGGTCTTGGTTATGGCTATAGTAGAAGAGATAGGGAAACCAATGTGCTTTCCTGTTCAATTAGTTTGTGTTGGCCTGGTTATTATAGCTTTGTACGGTATATTGCATCTTTCATCTACTTCAAATTCCATGGATAGGCAACTTACAAGTATGTATGAACCTCTATCAACCAAATGTTTGGTTCAAAACTTAGGGCTTAGGATGATCATCAGCAAACAAGGTCAGTAAAGCTCTATGGCAAATTAGTGAAGTAGAAGTAGTAGCCATAAGGCTTGTAGGTCACTTACAAAAAAGTCTGATCTGGCCTATTTACAAAGTAATGATGATGATAATCAGAAGACTTTAGCTACTTGTTTCCATGAAGCTCGAAATGGATTCTATAGCGTAAGCTGGGATAAGATCGATGGAAATACTTCTTGTGAGAGTCAATTGCCTTCCATTTTGTGTGTGTTTTATTGTCAAGTATATGTAATGATTGCTGACATGAAATGATGCTGATCTTTGATTCACAGGAATAGTAGCAGATACTACTAGTGCTTTTGATCAAAGTAAGCGATTACGTACAGGTGGTGACTATGGCCATGTTCCCTATCCCTCTCCATCACCGTATCATCCTCCTCCTCCCCCTCCTCCTGTCTGGGGTCCCCCTGGGTATGTAGCCTTTCTTACTTCTATCTTGAATGTTGCCATTATATTGTAACACCACAAAGGCTACCGAAGTCTTCTCTCATTGCATGAATTGATTTGCAATACTTCTATTTAGGTACATGGCTCCACCTCCACCCCCATATGATCCATATGGAGGCTATCATGTGCCTCCAGTACCAATGCCTGCACCTCCTCCTGTACCTGCTCCAAGTAGTTATGTTCCTGTCCAGGTGATGTCATCATTTCAGTGTGTGTGACTGGACTATGTGTGTTTCTATTTGATATTTTTGCTTGTCTTTTTTGGTGAACCTTTTTGTTTTTTCTTTTGATAACGAAAGCACCTTTGTGAAGTTTCTGCACTATTGGGCATCAACAGATTGAATGTGATTAGCACGTTTCCTTATTCAAATCTAAATTTTGTCACCTCAAAAGCATGTCTTATTGGCTGCGTTTGATATGTAGGTTTGGAGGATTCATAATCCTTAAAACCAGAAAGTATTATAGTCTTGTCTTATGGTGCATCTTTCGTCTGGGTTGTTTATTTTCCCATTTGATTTTCTGGTTTGGGTTTGCCAAGTGCTACCTTTCTGTCATTCTTAAGCCTGTTTGACTTGCTTAGGTTTTAGAGTTAGATTCCAAATCCTAATGGTGCCATTTGCTCATGCGAAACCATTTTGGTATCTACTAGAGGATATGAAGTACGAACAAGATTCGTGCTCTTCTAACTTTAGGCATATAATGAGCTAACTTAAATTTTGTTGAACTTTTGGCGCTCAACTTAGTAGACTTCAGTATCCATAATTGAGAACCCTAAGAGTATGTGGCCTTACTACTAGTACGGTCAACTCTTTTTCTAGTTTACAGGGTTATGTCTCTTAATATTGAAAATAAGAGGTAGTATGTGGGCTGAGCTGTTATCCTAAAGGGGTTATTTCAGAAGTTGGTTAGTCACCACCTATACTTGGGTTTTTCTTCTTTGTTCTGAAATTGGTGTATAATTAATTTTTCCTACCTGCAAAAGGTCTTGGATACCTTCATTTTCGTGGACATGGTGCTTTTATTGTCCTGAGCTATCATTTTCTTTCCTATAATGTCTTTCTGACCTCCTGTGGCTTTCCTGTTGTCTCCTGATCCATGCAGAATACAAAGGATAATCCTCCCTGCAACACGCTGTTTATTGGTAATCTTGGAGAAAATATTAATGAAGAGGAGCTGAGGGGACTATTTAGTGGGTAGGAACTTCTCGAACATGGTTGCTTCTACCAGCTGCTCTTTGATGCAGTTCTTTGGTGTACTCTAGATCTTTCCCTTCCTTTTTGGCTTATTTGGTGCCTTTCTGTGACACAGACAACCTGGTTTCAAGCAAATGAAAGTCTTGAGACAAGAAAGACATACAGTTTGTTTTATCGAGTTTGAAGTGAGTGGAATGTTCACTCTAGTTTTTCCCCTTTGCCGCCTGGCGTACACTGACAGTGGTTTGTTTTGTTGACCAACAGGATATGAACAGCGCAACCAATGTGCACCGAAGTTTGCAAGGTGCTGTTATTCCCAGCTCTGGTACTGTTGGCATGCGGATACAATATCCTTTTACTGACTTATTCATTGTAATAATTTACTTATTATCATTTCCTATAGTCTATGTTAGATCACATATAGACAACTATAACTGAAATATCAGTATAGCTTGAATTGTGGGGTTTGTGGTTCTTCATTCTTTTCTATTTTCATTGAAGCCTTGTTTTCTTACACTTGTAGGGTCACATGTTTGGAGGCTGCATCATTAATTCTTGTTTCATGGTTGATAGGTGGAGTGGGGCAATAGGTCTATCCAACTTCTAGGTCTATTTTAACTAAAAGCGAAAGTGTATGAACTAGTGGATTTAGCTATTAACCTGGCTGTAAAGATTTTTTTGGAATGCAAAGAATCAAAATGGACATCGTGAAAGCACTTCTGGTCTCACCTTCAAGGAATTTATCTTGTGTTTCTTGCTATCTGTAGTTGGTGTCTGAAACTATCGAAAATGAAATGTGTGTTTATGTTGTAATTACTATCCCACTTGTGTTGTGTGCCTATTTTCCTTAACTTATTGATGCAAGTATTCGAAGAATCCATATGGGAAGAGGAAGGATGGAGCTCACCCTACTGTTGCTTCTCCCAGCACCAATGGAGCTCAGCCAGCTATGACTTACCAGTAGTGGAAGGAAGGGGGATGTAACTCTGATCTTTATGCTCCAAGAAATACTTACTGCATGATAGGATGCATCTTGCAGCAGTTGCATGCATCCATTCCACATCACAAAGCATCATCAACATTAGCATCTGTTCTTCACGAGATTTTGAATACGCGTATCGCTGTCATTTTACATGGCATTGGGGTCCATGTTATTATTTATTATCTCCCAGACATGCATTTGTAGCAGGTTGTTAAACATAGACAATTAGTTTGTCTCCTAAGAAGTGCTTGCCTTCTGATGGGCGATTCATGACAACTGTGTTTTGTAGTGTGCATTCTCACACCCCGTTTTAATTATTGACAACTAGACATCACTACTAGGGATGGTTGTTCAATCAGGTCTTCGCCCCCTTTCTGTGTTGCTTCGAGTTTCATTCCATTATTTAAACATGACATCCAAAATGTATCTGCAGATCACGTATCATGACACAGTTTATCAACCCCATTCACAGCATCAATCATAATCTGTTACTAACCATGAATATCGACATATCATGTTGTCCAATTAGGTCTTTGCCCCCTTTCTGTTAAATCACATATCATAACAGTTTATCGAGCCCATTCAGCAGCATCAATCATAATCTGTTACTAACCATGAATGTCAACATCTCATGGTCTGGATCAGCAAATCAGACATTTCAACCAACAGTTGTTAATACTGTTCCTCATTGGTTTTTCCGAATGGCTGAATGCATGATATTGTCGACGAAAGTAGGGAATGCATGCCATTGTGATTTTCTACATGCAGGAATATCTCTAAAGAATGTCAGGGGGCAGGGGTCAGCCACAGCTGCATTGTCAGGTGAGTTGCTCATGGTTCTCCGACATAGAAATTGCTTGTTCTGGGGATCGAAGAATTACCAATGCTAGCTATGATACAAGTGCATATCGTCTCGAGGCTGCAACTGCTAGAGGAAGGTCATAATAATGTCCTCTAACAATATAGAGTTTTGTTCATCGATCATGATGGGACATCTCCATTTCTTTTTTCCTTATTCCCTTCTTTTCTGCTACTCTCTGCTTTGTTTAGTTTTTTTTTTTACCTTTTGCCTTCTGGATAGCCCTTTTGGATCAGTTTTCACAAATGACTGAATTGAATACATATTATGGGGCGCGAAAGACCGAGTTCTGTTTGTGTTTTCGTGTGTTCCTCTATATCACAAACGATCGACCAATTCTAGACCGTAGAGCAGTTGCAACCGTTTGTTGTATGCATGCAGTATGCAGAGGCAAATATCAACAGGAGATGCTCATTGCTCGAATTTGGCGGCTGGCATCTTTGCACATTGTAGTAAAGAGTCAACCCATTGATATTAGCGGTTCATGCGAAGTCGGGAATGAAGGAGGGGCCTCGAAGCATTGCAAAGGTACTTGGTATGAGACGAAAGGAAAGCAGGCAAGAATCAGATTTCCACGGCTATCAGCAAGCAAAGTACATTGCAGAAAAGCTTTATGGAATCTCCTTCCCATAAAATAAACAGTTGCTGGGTTCATTTGGCAGTGACCAACAGCTTTTAGTTGAACGCATACATTTTTCATGCTTTCGTGAAGAGTGCTCTGATGCGTTTCTCTTGTTCCTCTGCCGATCCCCTGTTCCTCATATGCTAGCATATTTGCCAGTCATCTTCTCAATTGGGTTCCTTTCATTTACTTCCCAAATCACCTCTGTTTCATTAATCGTCAATGGCGAACCAGCAACCTGCTCGACCCTGGTTCCAGGCCGCTTCTCTGGCTCGACCTGTCCAACCGCGGCCTCAGCCTCGGCCAACAGCTCCAGCTCTTGTAAGGAAAGCTCCATCAGGGCAAGGATCACTGATCAGAGGCAAGGGGTATGGGCTTCAAAGAATAAAGCCTTACTTGCAAAGCAACTCTGGAATTTACAGCATAAACCTGACTCCTTGGTTGCCCGGAAGAGCCTGATATCATCCTCAGTTGTTCTGTCATGGAAGCTAAAACTGGTTGGAGATCGTGTTATATTTGGAGAAGCTATGATTTGCGGTCTATCGAATAAACGAAGCTCATAATTATGGAACTTGAAGTTCCCACGTGTGTTAGATGAAGATCACAGGAAGCCAGATCGCATCACTATCCAGCAATTTGCGTAGATCGCGTTCTGTTGCAACTTGCAAGCGACAACACAACAGGTTTGAACGATGGTTGGTTAAGACCACAAATTCAGATATTGGCACAACAGATTTATCAGACAAATCAACCCAAAACCAAATTTACAAACCACACTAGTAGAGCAAATGGAAGAGAGAAACCCCAGAATCAGAAAAGAAAGAAAGAATCGGTCTAACCAGGCTATGCGATTCTACCCGCGATTATCAAATTTACAGGAGGGGGTTTTTTGTTAGACTTTGAAGGGAAATTATTAGGTACTCCCATGGGACCTGATAGATGAGATTGATTGTGCAGAAACAGAGGCCGTCGGACTGTTGAGCTCTCTATCTCCATCTATGGCTTTCGGTTTCCCGCTCAATCTTTCCATGGCTTCGTGGCATACTTCGGTGAACCATTCGTCTTCCGGTAGCACCCTGGAAACAAAAATTCGCGATAGGAGAAGAACGTTCAGATTTCATATCGAGACGAAATGATTGCCACGAGAAGGGATGAAACTAATTATCTGGACTAGGGTTGAGTTTACGACTGACGAATCTCATCGATTTGGCCCCGTTCGTGATGATATATCTAACTGCTTTGGCGAAATGAATACTGGGAGAGTGTAGAGCTACTTTTACCTGTCGGGATCCATCCCAGTACTGGAAAATGCTGCCACAGCTTTGTTAATGATCTCGTTGAGGACCCGGTTCAAGTTTCGTGACAGGTAGCGTCCTTGGGCGGCGAAGCACGAGACGAACTTCATATCGAGATAGAACTGGGCAAATAAACCATCATCATGGAAAACAGCAGTATGTTAGAAGCTGGAAGAGAGTGCAAAAAAGGCACTGAGGGGAAAACTTTTTTTCGACTGTAAGGTTGTTGGTTACAAACCTGCTGTAAGCCCATAGGACCAAGCGGCCTCGGGCCTTCTTCAATGTCATCCCAAAAGCTTTGATCTTCTGACAGCCATAATATGACCGTCTCGGTCAGTCTCATGAACAGTAAACTCACGAATCTTTCCCTCCCCACGAACATGTCTGCTGCTAAACTAGCCATCCTGTTCAGCTTTACAAAAAGTTCCTGAAATAACAAAAAGTAAAATTATGCCTGAGTTGCAAGAGAACCGACAGACGACAGAATTTGGGTTCTTAAAAAATGTACAAATATTTTCTTCTCCTGAGTCAACCAAACTGTAAGGGAATAGCTAAATCTTCTGAAAGTGAAAACTGGAATGCCACAGAGTTTGTCCACAAACAGAACGTCCTGTTCTGTTTTGTGCAAACCACATATGACAATTGCATCCAGCCAATATACTACAACTGTATAAAATGACGAGTGCATAGAAATGCAGACTAACAAGAAGGGGAATTCAACTTGGGATTAAGTCTTAACTTTTTCTTGCATTCAAGTGTTCTAATGTATATTTTCCTTGGGATGAGGAATCGTTCACCTTACAGTTATAATGGGAGTCCTCTCGTGTGACCATATTTATAATTTACTTGGAGAACACTCGGAAGCTGTTATGTAAGTCTTAATGGTTAAGGTTGTTGAGAACTTATCTAGCCCTTTACTTTCTGTAATGAAAACCTATAGCATTTCTATAGAAAAAGGCGGCATGAGCATGCACAGTAATAGTGATTTTGATTCCATATACATACCTGGAATATTGGGGAAGGAAGCCATTCTAACTCCTCCACGTTATTGTCCATGTTGATGTACATATCAGCAGTAAGATGACTATCACCCTCTTCCGTGAAAATGAGATCAAGTGCATGTTGCCGGCAAAAAGTATCTTTCAACCTATCAACAGCAGCCACAAGGCGCTTCCTCCATTCTCTTTGCTCAGGGTGGCGATTTGGTTTATCAGCTGGTCTCCTTCTTCTGTCCTCCTTATAACTAGGATGACTCAGAGGATAAAGTTTCATTGCGGAACGTGGCAGCAGTTCATCTGCCAACAATGATGCATTTGCTAGCAATGCCATCTGCTGGTCTTCAGTCTCGGCCAATCTGACAATTTTATTAACAGAACCTTCAAAATTTGCTTCTTCTTCCATAGAACCTGGCAATGCCTTTATAAGCATGTTAATATATGAGTTGAATACTTGGAAAACACAATCCAGTGTTTGACCTCCCAACATACTAAGAAGGGGAGCAACATCCTCAAAGAAGTCCTGATAGAGAAACAGAAGGCAACACGTCAGAGAACGAAAATACAAATATTGGTTATAGAAATAAAATCAAATATATGTAATACAAATATATGTAACATTTGATATGATCAGGAAAAAAAGTAGGTATCTAGAATTACTTAGGGTAATATGACATACTAGCTATGAAAACAAACCAAGTTCAATGATTAAGAAACAGGGAAACAGAGCTGATCATGCATAAGGCAGTCATAAACGTTCAGCAGAGATAGCTATTTGACACCTTATTGGCAGAAGATTGATTACCTGGACCATCAAGTTGAACCGATGGGCACTGCTGGTCAGTTTATGTTGGGAAGCGACTGCATTACCAAGAGATGTAACGAAAGACCTTCCCGACTGCCGAGTGCCTGTTGGAGACTGAGTAAGTACCCAATCATCAGCAGCCGCCATAGCAGCAGTGCTCTCTTCAATTCGTTTCAGATTAGCATCCACTGCTTGTTCAACACTAGGCCTAAAGAGTTTCAAAAGCACAGGACAAATTGCCAGACCACGCGCTTCTAATAAAGAGCAATGGCCCAAAGCTATCTGTACACACTCTGCAGCAGCTCGTAAACCACCTGCAGCTGCCGATGATGCTAAAGCATGTCTCTTAATAAGGACAGCAAAAGACTATGTTTGCTTACTAGCCCACATCACAAGCTCAGAAGTGTATGCTGGCTCTTTCCCGAAAATGGTCAAAGAATCAGTAGCAGCTTGAGCAATAGCCGAGAAAACTATCTGGGAGAGTGCAGCAGTATATGCTCCTCCATAAGAAGTGCTTGAAGGCCGGAGGCTTTGCATGTTATATTGATACCTCTGAAAATGTGCACTGAGTAACAAACTGTGAGCGCGAGGGCCATCTCCAAGGCTTTTAAGAGCTCCTACGGCTGCACGGAGTTCAGTGCCTCGGGTTGAAGGTTGGCATGCTGCTTCAGCAAGCTGATCAGCTAACTTTTGCTTCCGTTTCATGATTGCAGTCTCCAAAGACCTGAGAACTCCAGGACTCAATGTTTTAGCCTCTTTTGTTTCGGAAACTATATGCTCGCCGTCTTCAAATGCCACAAGAGCTTCATCCACTCTCCTCTCAGCTAATAAGACATCAAGGAGATCAGGGAATTCAATGGACCATTTCTCCAAGTCAGAAGGTTCTCTGTCTTCACTGTTTAGTAAACTATTTACGGAGGATTCTTCTGAACTCTTTTCAGACAGTTGATCAATATGAACACCCTCTGCTAAACTATGAATCAAAGTAGCCTGAGTGGAAAGCAGGCTTCTGATAGATGAAAGCTCTACCTCCAAATCTGATATCTCTTTCGATGTACTGCAAACAGAAAATGACAGAGCTTGCTTCAAACCACAACTATTTAGAAACAACTATCTCAGGTGTCCGTCTCTATGGACAAAATACAGAACATGATTGTTGAATAATACAATGAAATAAGTAACAATAAAGTGTGCTATTGTCATACATAGAACATGATATACCCGCACAGGGATCTATTCTGATAGCACGAGTTCAAAACTGACCACGGTATGGGCGACTACTCCGAAAGCACTCACCGTATAAAAGAGGTATAATTTGCATACACACTTTTCCGCATTTCTTCAGCCGAAGCTTTCTTCAAATCCAAAAGATACGAGCACAATTGCCTTATTTCCTGGGGAGCAAGAGCACATGTTCATAATGAAGTCACAAAAGTATACTTTCTTGAGAGTCAAAATACATGACCAAGGCATAAAATTGTGAGTTTATGATTGCATAGGAAGAAATATGAACATTCTCATATTTATGAATCACCAACCCAACAAAAATAGCCCAAAGCCCCAACCAAACCAAGACCTCGCTGTGTAGACAGTAGGGATCAGTCTACTCAGTACTCGCATTAAAACCGCACATTCTTAGGCAACAAGAAATACTCAGCATCTAAATATAGGCCTAACTGTTCAAAGTAGTAGCTAGGAAGGTGACGGTCTAAACCAAACAAAGAGAAGGAGAACTGGAGGTCAGGCATAGGATTCAGGCGTGTCTATCGGGCATAAAAAAAAAAACTACTGAATTGCATTTCAAGCACCGGTGCGCCATAGATTCGAAGTACAATCCAGGAATCAAAGGAAATTGAGTTCGATCCAATTCAACTCCATCACAAATTGAAATTCTCACACAAGCGATCACATGGCCAACCCGGAAAGAGGACCTTCTACTTGTTCAAGAAACTTCCAATTAGAACCGCGCAGTCAATCCGTCCAATTGCTAATTCTTCAACCAACGCAATTCCCTACTGAACAAGGACTAGAAGTTCGAGAGACGAACCACACGAGTAAGCGAGCGACAACGGAGACTAACCTTCTCGTTGAGAGAGCATTTGGACTGGACATAAGCATCCGCATCGAACTTATCGGACTTGAAGGCGGTGAGTCCTTCCTCCGTCTTGACGGCTCCATTCTCCTTCACCGGAGCCGACCTGGACCGAGCGGTCTTCACCGAAGACATTTTTGTTTCTCTTTCTTCTGCGTCTCTCTGCTTCAAACCACTGCCAGCTCAGAGATCAGATCGAATCAACCAGCGGCAGAAGGATGGCGATGCGAGGAAAGAAATGAAGTAGATCCAATTATTAGGCGATAAGATTGCGGCACGGCGCCATGGATGAACCTCGGAAGCAAAACTGAATGAGGAGATGAAGAAATGAGGAAGAAGGAAGGAATTGGTGGTTAGTAGTAGAAGCCAGACAGACGAAGGGAGAAAATTCGGTCCTGAGCGGAAAACACAGCGTGGATCTCTCCCTTCTCTTCCCCGCGATTGCTTCTGCTGGCGCTGTGAGTTTTTTTTTTTTCTTCTTCTTTTTACCGTTTGGTAGAATCCGCCGCTGTGAAATTGTGAGGACTCGCCTTTGGCTTTCATTTGACTGTATTTCCATAAAAATCTGATTTTATTTTATTGGTAGAATTCTGAAATTTAACAAATATGTATTTTTGTATTAAACAGTTCAGCTAATATGTACAAATGAAATAAATATGGGTTTCTAGAAAATTATTACCCAAATGTGTTCATTATATAAGTATCTAAAAGAAGATTGTTTCCTTGTACCGTTTTTACCGTTTACTTGGAGATTTTCGTGATAAATGTTAAGTTAATACATTATCGTGAAGACATGTATAGATAATGAGGCCAATGAGTAGATTAAATGACCACATTTTTAATGGTTAAAAGACTACAAACCATTTTGAAATTGATTGGTATGAAAATGGTAACTCAATTCTCGTACATTCTCGCATATATTTCCATTTTCAATCTTTCTCACACATATTCTCTTCACAATACCCCTTCAATCACTGGCAAGGTTGGGAACGTAGAGATAAGGAGCTAGACGAGAAGAAAGATAACCAAGCTAGAGCATATGATGAACTTGAAGAGCACGAAGGTCGAGAGCAAAGAGATGACGAAATAGAGGAGGATATGATAAATGAGATAGACGAGCAATAGAAATGAAGTGATTAAACAAAAAAACGTACGATCCTCCGTAACATTATTGAGAACGTGAGGAAGGTGTTAGGCATAGAGACGAATTTTATAAAGCACAAACATTTCGCTCGAAGCGAACTACACAAATGGCTATGAAACATATAACACAACTTTCATTATAACGTGGTGCAGTCAACACCATCAGGTGAAATGCTTGAACCGGTAAACCAAATGACTATTCATGCACCCACCAAGTCTCATTCAATTAATCTCCTTCTCACAAGTCCAGAAATTCGACAAGGAGTAGAGTATAATCAGTCTCTTTGACATTTATTCGCACCTTTACCAAAAAAAACCCCGAAAAATTTGACTCGTAACCAAGACCAACCATACTGCAAACAGAAAATAGAAATCTTCCATGTCTCAGACATTCCTCCATGGACGCACTCCACATCATCATGGTTCAAACATCTGGGTCGTCGGACCGGGTTGCTGCGAACAAACCAACAAACAATTTCGGTAAGTCGGCATCACGAAATATTAGAATCAGATTAGTCTTGACAAGCAGTCTGAGTTGAAGCATAAGAATACAAACATCAAAATGGAAGAAGTTTGACCGAACAAAGTTTATCTAGGTGGAAGTAACCTGTAGCACAATGACAGCAGAAAGGCACCAATAGTGTAGGAGAAGTGTGGTGCAGGAGATTGTCAGCTAACAAAATTTAGCACTCAACTAATTGGTGGATTAACTGAACACAATTGACCTCGGTAGCCCATGCTCTACAACTATGCGCATCTTAGCACAAATACAAACTTCGTTTCAGGGGTTAAAATACAAATTCCTACCCTCTGTTCTCGTACCAGTAACCCAATGAACAAATACTGTTGTGGTTCTCGAAATGCATATTCATGATACTGCCTAGACATCCAACTATACTTTCAATCATACACAAGGTTCAAAAAGCGCTAACAAATAGCAAATTGTAAACAACCTCCAATCATCAAGCCATAGCAAAGCATGAAATGGAAGTGGAACATAACGATAAAAAGGATTTCTTTGATAAGGTTCCAAGCTGCAGCATAGAGAGCACCTCTTGAAGTGCAGTATTAAAAACAAATATGCATATTAGCAAGAAGAGCTAAGGGTAAGTTCATTCTCGCATTCAACGATCAGGAAAATCAAGAAAACATGTGCTATAAGCCTCTAAAATCAAGTAGAAACTTATAACAGTGTCCTGTCGGCTAAACAAACACAAAGCCATAGCAACTCATTACTCATCCACACAACTCACATCCTGAACAGTAGCCCTGCACTCAATCACTGACTGACTACTCAAACACCCATCAAAAGGCCATTATACGGTGCTAATTGTATAATTCAGGCCTGCAGCACGAAGTAACTTATAGCACCTTTCCCAAATTCATGTTCCTGAAGTGATCATCAACTGAGCAGGCACTATCAGACACAACGTCTCAAAATCAAACATCATAAAACTTGATCAGAAGGATCACAGGACTCGGACAACCGAGCTGAAAGGCAACGCATACAGCACCACGGGGAGGAACCTTGGTTCTGTAACTAGAACATGTCTAAATTGGTTGCAGTTTCAAAAATCAGTGCCTAGATCAGCTTCATCTCCTAGTCAAAACGATAGAATCAATTGATAAACCCAAACTAATCTATTATGCATTCAAATTTTCCAGAATTATTCCACTTGTGCCTACACGCAGTAATTCACAAACCCAGATGATCGGGAGCAAAACAAAACCTAAAATTCATAGCGCAGCCGTAAATGCATCCCAACCAAACACGGCGAACCCACTAAAACACAAGATCAAGAAAGACCCACACCGGCGCAAGAAACACCCGCCAGATCTAAGCGAATGGAAACCGAAGATTGGTGGTTCAGAGTAGGAATCTTACTGGGCTTCTCGGGCTTTCCTTCGGACCACTTGGTAACGGTGAAATGGACCTTCTCCCGAGCTATGGCATCGCTCTTGTGAGGCTCCTTGAGGCAGTTCCTGACTATGTTGGCGCAGATGTTCGAGTATGAGATGTAAGTCATCCCTGCAGACCTCCAGAAGGGCACAGCCGCAGTCGACGCCATTGGAGATGATTTCGCAAGCTTCGGGGGTTGTCTCTTCCTTTCCTCCTGTCTTCTCAGTTCTCTCCGCCTTGGTCTTCGGCTTTCTGTATTAGCAGTCTATGACAGCCGCCAGGCAGGCCTGTGGCCTAGTAAACGGTAAGTCATTTGATTATTGGGCTTCATTGGTGGGTCTAGATATTGGGCTTTCAGTCCAGTTTTGGCATTGGACTGTCTTAAATAAAGTTGTGCTCTTGGGTTGGATGATGCTTTCGCTTGAAAACATTGTGAAGAAAGGAAGTAGAGGTCCTTGATTTCTGCTGCCAAGTGCTTCTATGGCAGGAATTTCAGCTCTTTGATCTTCTGTTTCTTCAGTTATGGAATGGAAAGTGAAGAAAGCAGACAACTTTCAGGAACAGATCACTATGGACCTTCTTCAAATGGGTGGATTCTGGGATACAAACAAAACCAGGAGAAGAATCTAAAAGGGACAAAATCTACCTTCTTTCACACATAGCAGGTTCAAAGTCCGTACACAATACATCATGCAATTAGACATCTAAGATCCGCCATGAAAGCATATTTGTATATCTCCCTACTGAAACTCTGAGAAGATTCTTTCCCAGTACAAGTTTCGTCATTCACAAATCACAACACACCAAACAGACAGAAAAGAGTCCCCTTTTCCTTTAAAGAACCAACTTTGTATATACATATAACAACATATGGACTTGGAATCTCACTGGAAACCATCAACCAAAGCACATACACATGATCCCTTGGTAGCAAGAGGCACTGTCAAACTTATCAGCCAAAACATTCTTGCAGGCTTCTGTGCAAGTTGTGAGCGTGCATGGATTCATGTCAATTCCAAACACTGCCTCGCCTGTGATTGCATTGGCAGCCATGAAAATCAGAAGAACCAGCAGAATCTCCACTGCCATGAAACTTCCTCTTCTACCACCACCCTTCTGCATCTTGTTGAGGAAAATTGGAGATGGGTTTGGGGTGAAGTTGTGGACTTTATTATAAAGGGGTTGCAAAAGGAATGTTCTCTCAAAGTTATAAGCAGGGCATTTGGTAGTGGGGGAAGTGTTTGATTTCATTTCCCTTTTTCCAGATCTTGATTCTTTTCAGTGCTTTGTTAATTAGGAAAAGAGAGATGGAAGGGACAACAAAAAAAGAAATAGTGACAGAAGTAAGTGGTGGAGCACTACAAGTTAGGTGTTGTTTGTTTGGACCAGCAAAAGATGTAGATCTAGCAAACCTTTTGCCGAACAATTGGATGAAATGGCCTGAGAAGGGGACTGTTTGTGTAATGCATGCACGTGCTCTGTTTGTTTAAGGAGCCTAATAGAAACCTCTAGTTGAGAGAAAGAATTTGGGGAACCAAAGCATAATCGTCTGATGTTGATGTCGAACAATTTTGAAACTATGATTCGATGGCTCGTAGTATATTTCTGTTTCTTTCACCAAGTGAGGGCCTGCAAACTTGCTGCTGCATTTTTCTCAAAACAAAGTGATACGATTTTGAAATAAGTTCTGCTCACAGCATTTTTGGATATCTTTCAATGATGTTGCGGATAACATAAGCAAGGAGCAAATCTGTTGTCACTAATTATTTGTTGCAGTGAAAATCTACACAGGAAGGAAGGACCTGTAAAATCAGGATTTAACTAACAATGAGACAACAATATTTCCTCAATGTTTTCCCATCCTAAATCTTTTTTTTGCTTTGCATACATAACAAAACTGATTTGTCTATCTAAAACCAATATCCTTCATAACCAGTACACAACACATTAGGACACTTTTGCCTACTGCTCTATGCCAAGATCACCCCACCTCACTTTGTATCTTGCTGCCAAGTAGTGAGCCCCAACCGGGCCCCGGCTTCCATATGGATAGTACTCCGGGATGGTCCTCTTCTCTTCCAGTTCCTTCAGAACTGGCGTGAAAAGTGACCAGGCAGCATCAAGTTCATCGCTTCTAATAAACAGTCGTCTTTCCCCTTCGATAGCGTCAAGAAGAAGCCTCTCGTATGCATCTGGAATCTCCTTTGAGTACCTAGAACGAGCACAACATACGAGCTCAGTCTTGAATCTAGATGTTCATGTGTGCCTCTCTAACTAATGAACTGCAGACACTACTTTAAGCATAAATGGAGTCAAAGTTCTAAACTCTTTTACCTTGTTGAATATAGAAGATTCAGATTGCTACGGTCCAGTCTCATCCCAAGTCCAGGTACCTTATTATTGATCTTCAGGTAGATTGCTTCATCTGGCTGCACTCGAATCACAAGCTCGTTCGTGGCTTGATCAAGATCCGTTCCAATATTTCGATTGTACAAGTTGCCAGGCACATGTCTGAACTGTACTCTAATCTCAGCCCTAAGTAGAAAGCACAAGCATTGCAAACATTCAACAACTCTGTGCCTCTTTTATTACCAACCATAATAGAAAGAACATGTAATTTATATCTTACCCCTTGCTATGTAATGCCTTTCCAGCTTTCATCAGAAAAGGAACTCCATCCCATCTAGGATTATCAATGAAAAGGGCAGCTGCAGCAAACGTTGGAGTCACACTGTCTTTTGGCACTGTCTTGTCATCGGTATATCCAGGGTGAGTAACTCCCCCTCTCGTATGACTCTTGTACTGCCCAATTACAACATCTTCGAGCCTCAAAGTCCTCATTGATCTCAGCACTTTGACCTGAGTACAATATCGACGAGTTAGCATTCCTTCAATAGTATAAGATGCACAAAAGATTGACAGGTATGGACGAAGTTACTACAATGTTAGAAATCAAGGTTCAGCAACCAATTCAACAACCCAAAAATTTAGGGACTAATTTCTGCTATAAGTGTGTATTAATCCTTGCTTCACAAGCTCGTCCCAGATGACTTGATGGGGCCTGGGTACACCTTGGGGTTTAATGCGACCATGCTATCCGACATGCTTTATTTTCCGAGAAATACCTTCTCATTTCTGATGTCCTCAGCATCCAAGCTAACAGGAGTTTCCATGGCAAAGAGCGCAAGTATCTGAAGCAAATGGTTCTGCATTATGTCCCTTATTATCCCATAATTGTCAAAGTACCTAAAATAGTACCAAAACAACAGAAGACCATTAGCCATACATATGCAGGCAGATAAACTCTAATGTAATGATTGATGTTAATACTTTACCCTCCACGCCCTTCAGTGCCAAAATCTTCAGAGAATATCAACTGAACATTTCTTATATACTGTCTGGACCACAATGGTTCGAAAATGAGATTAGAGAACCGGAGAACTGATAGGTTTTCCACCAGTTCCTTCCCCAGGTAGTGGTCTATCCTGAATATTTGATCCTCAGTTAGGTATTGCTTGAGGGCTTTGGTCAAAGCAGCTGATGATTCCGAGTCTCGACCAAAGGGCTTCTCTACAATGACCCTAGTCCACCCACTGGCTGCAGAAGCTGAGGAGCTAGCACATTTTACTGCATCTATGAATATGTTTGGGGGAATCGACAGATAAAACAGCCGATTTGACTCTCGACCACCCTGCAAATACAGATCTCCTTAAGTCAACCAAACTAAAAGCACTGGTTGCAGCATTAGCTCTTCAAAATTAGTAAGCTTTAAACTCATTGCTCACAGTTTTTCAATACAGAACTTCATTACCTCATGCTCTTTAAGCTTTTTGTCGAGGGCTGCAAAATGTTCTTGGGAATCGTATTGACCTGAATGATAAAAGCACCTCTTAAGAAATTGATCTATCTTTTCTCCACAATTCTCCCTGTAAAGTCACAAAATGGAAAGATTTAAACTCTAGGAGAGAGCAATTTACATCACTCTCAATCCGAAAGAAACACAGAACTGAAGTCACCTTTGGTCAATTCTGCAAGTTAGGGTTTTGCTAACCATGTCCCTAAGCTCAGCATCAGTCATCTTGCTACGAGCATAACCAAACACCGTAAAATGCTGCAACCACACAAAAATGCTCAAACTTTATTATAAGCCAATTGATAGACCACTCAATCTACTGAAAGGAGAATCGTGGAAAGTATGATGAACCTTTGGAAGGCAACCCTCGTAGTAAAGGGCGAAAAGTGCAGGAAAGATCTTCTTTTTAGCCAGATCTCCAGAGGCACCAACCACAGTAATACTAACAGAAGACTCATTCTCCTTAACATCAAAACCAGCTGCCTCTTTCAATTCCTCAGTAGAGATACCCGAAGAAGAAAGCAACCCATCTTCCAATTTCTTGACGGTTTCTTCCTTTTTTTGTGCTGGATTTACAGGAGTTGCCACAGCACCTATGATCGATCAAATTCAAATCCAATTGGTAGTTAGAACCCTTAATCAGACCCAAAAGAACGTCCCAAACAACCAAACATTTGGGCAATGAGAATATGAATCAAAGATTGAAACTTCGACACGCTTGGGCCAATTCACACAACCACCCAGTGCCAAGTATGAAAAAGGGTAATCAAGGAGCTGTACCATCTTCCATTAAGACGACATTAGGTCGAGAATTGCCCTGAGATTGCTGCAAGCAGAGCACAACTGGAGGAGACCTCCTAGGAATTGGAGAAGAGAAGCTGAGAAGCCGATGATTATGTCGATGGCCGTTAGACGAGGCCGGCGGGAAGGAATTAGAGGAGTAGGAACGATATTGAGCTGACGATAAACTCGCCATTTTTACTTGTTGACCTTTTTCTTCAATCAATCAATTTGATTAGCTTCCAGCTTTTCTCCAATGTCTCTCCTTGCTCTACAGAAGGGAAAAGCTGCAGTCTTTAATGGTGAAATATCATCGGAAACACCAAGGGATAACGCCCTTGAGATCTCCGAAAGGCCGCTTATGTCTTAGTGACTCATCATTAGCTCTTCTTATTCCCTGGAAGAGGGTGAGGAAATACTTCTTTATTGAAATAGTATTTTGGTAATCGAAATGACAATCGACATAATTAAGGAAATGAGACAACCTCATAAATCATTGCTGGATGGCCGGAGCGGCAATGGCGGCGGGAGAAGAGTAGAAGACGAAGTTGATGGAGGCTGGGAGGGAAAAGGGTCGAGAACGAGAAGTTGAGAAGGCGAATTGGTATTTGGTTGCGATAGCAAGCTCTCTCTTCCGGTGACAAATGTGAAAAAATTGTTAAATCGAGTGACCAAACGTTTAATTTGGCCTTGGTCGAGGTTTCAACTTTCAATCCATCCTATTATCTCGACATTTCAACGCCGGCGTAGCGACTAGCGAGCGTCTTCTTCCCCCTGTGTCTCTCTCCGTCTATCTCCGAGCTAAGCGAGATGCAACTCCAGACTCAACCTGGAGTGAGCTCTCACTCCCCGATGTTCTCACTCGTCTCTCTGCGGCCCACTACCCAATCCCAATTCTTCTTCCCCAATCAGCGCCACCCACTTCGCCACCGCTCCTTAAATTGCTCCATTTCCGCTAAAGCCGCCGCCGCCGCCGTCTCTTCAGAGCCTGCCACCGTCGTCCTGGGCTCTCCGCAACACAAGCCCTTCCCCGCTGAGGTCTCCAGAACCATCGTGGAGTTGTCCTCCGTCGCCACTCTCTCTACAGTCACGCAACAGGGTTGCCCTCTGGGCGTCAGCGTTCGTTTCGCTGTGGATGACGAAGATGGGACTCCAGTTCTCTGCTTGGCCGATTCCCATGGAATCGTCTCTCGCGACAGGAGGTCTAGCCTCAACATTCGGGTACTTGGGTTGCGAATTTCTCCCCCATTTTCCAGTTTGTGTTTTGGGAAACATTTCTTAGGTGAATGAAGCTTTTCGTTGTTTTGCTTTGGATCAGCTGGAGCAGAGCGGAATGCGGACTTCTCAATGCACGATTCAGGGTAGTCTAGAGAAGCCAGAGGATGCAGGGCGGTTGAAGGTAAACCATTTGTGAAACTACTGTGGTTGCTTCTGAACAAGTAGAATTGTGCTTCTGATGGCTTACCCTTCTAGATCCTAAGTGTAATTCTCAGTATGATCCAACTGTTTGAGTGAGATTTATAGCTGCCTGTTTTGTTTCAGCCTCAATGCTTAGATAAGAAGAATGTGATAAAATGGCAAGCTATGGTTCAGTAATCTTTCCTCGCCATTTTTTGCTTCCTGTTTGATCTTTCCTCACCACTTTTAGCTTCCTTAATTTACGTGTGTACTCTCCTGTGCACTTACTAGTCGCTAAATGGTTTTTTCGTCAGGCAGACTCACTCGATTGCCTACTATATAAGATGCTGATGGATGCTATCCCTAGAGTGACATTTTCCGTTTGGATTTAAATCTTTTCAGAGGCTTCTTTCCTCGTGGAGGAAAAGATTTGGAGAAGAAGTTATGGAAGACCTCGTATACATTGTTGAGGTTGAGAGAGTACTACAGATGGAAGACTTCATGGAGGTATGTTTGCTTCATCTGATGTCGTAGTTGCTATTGTGCACTTGTTATAATTGCTTACATGGCCTAAGAAGCATATCCATTCTCTCTTTTGAGTATGCACTTCTCTTATTTGAGAACCAGCAACGAGTAATCTTAGGTTACAATACTTCAAAATTGATGTGTGGAACTGTTTCAGGATGGCATGTGGGTCTCCTCATCAGACTACAAAAATGCTCTTCCTGATCCTCTCCGGAACTCTGCCGAAGAATTCGTCAAAGAGATAAATGCCAAGAATATGGAAGATGTCAACAGATTTTGCAATGTATATGTTGATCTTGATTTCCAGGTCTTCAACTAACCTCAAGCTTCCTTTTTTCTTTTCCGCCATCTTCACTTTTGCATTCGTTTTAATGTCGTGGTTAGTTTTCTTGGGTAACTAGGTGCTGCTTTGAACATATATGGTCAACAAGACCAGCTTATCTGGGGCAAATGCAGTTTCACTGGGGAGAACGGAATAGAAACTTGATTTTCCTTGGTTGATTATATGCATTTTTTTAGCATATTATATATCTCTGCGACGTTGCATAGTATGGCTTGATATGTATGAAAAAGGACAGCCCCATCTCACCTTGAAATAGCATAGACTGTAGGGATGGCTGTGCAAAAGTGAAGCTTCTGCTTTATTTAGTAACTCCTAGCAGGGGAATTTTTGTCTTTAGTGTTCGCTCTATTTCCCCAATATCTGCCAGTTGTGCTCATGAATTCTGACTTCCTGTTTCAGGTTTCTGAAGCAAAGATGATATGGATTGATAGGCTAGGTTTTGATGTGCGACTTACCTCTACTGAGAAGGACTCTTTCGATGTCCGAATCCCGTTCCCAAGAGAAGTGACTGATGAGAAAGGAGCTAAGTCATCCTTCAATGGCATGTCCCAGCTGGCATGGGAAGTGGAGAAAAATTATCAAGCTCCAGCTTTTGAGAAAGTGAAACAGTTGAAGCAGATAAGTTTGAGAAGATTGTAACAAATCAATTTACTATGGTCCCTTTAGCATTCCTTGTAGAGATGAGGCTGATGTAAACAACTTTTTCTGAGCTATCTACCAGATTTTGTTGTTTGGTGCTTTGGTTCAGACTTCTATGTTCAGATTGTTGTGTCGTCAATATGAAAATTGAAAAATGAGGTTGTATAAGTTTTGTTCCTTCCCTAAGATATCATTAGATGTACTGAATGCCTTAACTTACAAATCACAGCTGCTGCATTTTTCAACCTCCAAGATTGACTGGTAGATTTATTCTTTTGGAGTATATGGTGTAAAGCTACAGAACTTCCAGTTATGTACATTTTGCTTGTCGGACATACAAATGAAATTGTCAGAGAAAGTTAAATCAAATACGTCAGACAGCCATCAATGTCGGTCTGAAATTATCTGTCATCGCATCTTTGATCTTGCCAATCCAGTATGCATGTTTGTTGCGCCTATATTTTGTCACCTTTTGCTGGAAGAAAGAGCTCAGAATGGTTTCCAGACCCTGTGCTGTGTATCTGATATGCTTTTTGGAGCTAGAATTTTCCTCCATTAGAAGTTTATAGTTCTGCAAGTAGTTTCTGTAGACAGGTACCAAAGACTGAACCAAGAGCTTGCAGATTCTCAGCTTCAAGTTCTGGTCAGGGACAACCCAACTGGACTGCTTCTGGTACATGTAATCAAACGCCTCATTGAATGCTTTGAACCCTCTTTTGATAGAATCACTGTTGGGTACTTTTGCAGGAGATGAATAAACTTGGCTGCTGTCTGGGCGAAGAATGGCAACCACCTTCCCCCAGCTTTCTCTCAAGTAAAGAGCCATGAAATGTTCCTTGTACTGTTCATGAGCCTTTAACCAGGAATCTCCCATCAGATCTCCAAGCTTTGTACCCCTGAGATTGCTAAAGTGGCAGTGGTTGTTCATCATGAAGAGGAAAGATAGTGTGGCATCCACATGTGCTTTCGACCATGAATCCAAGTTGAGGCCGATTTCTTTTACCACACAGCAGATTTGGCTGGTGAGGAGTTGATCGTGGTACTTCTCCTTTTTCCAGCTTTGATGGATCATCACAACTTTATCTAGCAATGGCCTGTACTTATCTCCAAGCAATTCATTGCAATACTCTGTGACAAAGCTCACCAGTCTTGGAACACTGCCATTTGAAGGAGGCAAGCTCTGTCTTTGCCTTGAAACATCATCTGTAAGCTCCCAGAAGATCTCACAGATGCCATCCACAACACTCTTGATGAGGCTCCTCGTCTGGGTTCGGATATCGAGGGAGGATGTCCCTCCAAAAAGCCGGTTGAAATCACCTCTCAGATTATCCAGAGCTGCAAAGATATCAAGCAGCTTCAAGAGCTTGATGGGATCCTTCTTACACTCGGTCACCTTTCTTCCAAACTGAAGGAATGACAGGATTCCAGACTCTGTGGCGATCTTTGTAAAACAACCTGTTGAGAAATCCGATGATGATATGGTGTTACAAAAAACATCTTTGCTGAGGTTGAATTCAACCTCGAAGACATTCTTCACAATCAACTCCAAGTGATCGGACCACTGATGAATCCAGCCCTCTACTTCTTGCACATCTTCAGACCCAGATACTTGCTTCACAAGGTAAGTCAGATCAATCCCTTCCAAACTGCTCTTGGCATTTGAAACCCGGACCTCGACATATGCTGTTGTAATCCACGATAGCCTGTTGTTAGCACTTAATCTCTCTCTGATGGCTTGAAGTTTTTCAATGACAGTCACAGGCAGAGCTGGTGGAGCAATGAAGGCCTTCTTCTTTGATGAGCAAAGAGCCAAAGGAACAGGAACCGAATTCGCCACAAGAAGCTGCTCGAATTCCCTCTCGAGCCTCCTAAATGCATCAATCAGAACACCACCATCGACTCGAGCCCTTCTCTCAGTGGCTTGCAACTCCAGCAGGATTCTCAAGGACTTCCTGACATTGGAAATGTACGGCTCACGGGAAACCGAATTGTCCTCCAGGAACTGTAGCATGTCCTGCAGCCACTGAATTGCTAGCCCGCAGTTGTTAGCTAGAAATTTCAGCGCTTCCTCCAGCTGCTTCAGGTAGGAAAGATAAGCATATAGATCAGAACTTGGATCTGCTGTGACCAAAGACTTCTGGAGCTCCTGAATCGAACCATGAACTTTCAGCACGGCTTCTGCAGGCCCAACTGCACGATCGACGTGGTCTGAAATCGCCACAAATGTGCATTTCTGAGCTGGGGAAGGCCTCACTGCAGCTTCCAAACGAGGTAGGCTCTGTCCAATGCGTTCCACTCTCTGTCCGGTTTTATGCAATGCTGCAGCAAGAGCTCTTGAGTTCTCTAAGCTTGCCTTCAATGCACTCCTGGCAGAAAGGACAGTTTTCCTAGAGCTGTCCACTTCAGCCATTGCCATAACTAGGAAGGAAATATGTTTGTGTCTTTTGATGTTACTGACTGGCAATGACTTGAGAGGGTGAAGGTTGGGCTGTCATCCTTATGTACTGACTGCTACTTGTTCTCCCTTTTAAGACACCTTTCTTCACCAAACTTCACCAACCCAAAGTGAAAGCATGTCACTGACAAAATTTTATTATGTCAAACCAAACATTATGCTCACTTGCTGAAACAAAAGTGCAAAACGCTAGTGAAGGTTGCCTTCAATTGTTTCCTTCTCTTTCACTCTTTTTAACACTTTCCTCACCAAACTCCACCTGCCAGAGTTTAAAAGAAACTGCAGAAGTTACACCCAGAAAAAGAAGTAAACCAAACCTTCTGGATCGTTTTCAAAGACCAAAGCTTTTCTTGAAAGGGTAGTTCCTTTCTTGACAAGATCGTGTTTGTAAAATCGTATCGGCGGTCCAACCGGAAATAGCTTATACCGGTCGTAGGTGATTTTAGAGGTATAAAATGGTTGAATCCTGGTTAAACCACGGTTCCAGTACAAAACTCTTATTGTTGATTTTTCTAGTACAACTTCTGACACCGATTTCGCAATTCTTGATATTTACAAATAGTAGTGTTTACAAATCAAATTGAGAGACGTTTCAAATCATATCGACAAACATTAGAAATCGGATCGACGAAAACTTCCGAACCAGAATAATAACAATCATTACAAACGATAATGTCTATGATTTGGACTAACAATATATGGTCTCACAAAGATGTCGACCCTCAGTCTCAGCAACACGTATAGACTGTTTTTGGGAGGAACAAGATGATATTGCCACATTCCCAAGCTTTCCAAAAATAATAATCACAGGTTCATTCCTCTGTTTTCCCAGAGGCAAGAGCTACTCAATATTAGTAGTGGGACCAATTGAAGCAAAACCATAAGTACCGAGTAATCACCAAAAGAGATCTCTTGAGGAGAAGGAAGCAAGTAATTCTTGTCGACATGCTCAACTTTTTGCAATGCGAATAAGAGGAGGAGGAGAGAGGATGTAAGCACTCGGAGGCCTATGGATGGCTAACATTGTGGGTAGGTTGTAAGTAGATTCGGGTCGGTTCATTTATAATTGTAACCGTTTATTCTGTTATTAATTTGTCAACAAGTAATTTTTATATACCGTTAATCACATTGTTAATAATAGTTGGATACCCGTAATGATATAGTTGGGTATTGGTTATTATGTCGGTTTAACCGACAAACCGTTTAGCAAGTGATTTGATAACTTTAGACCAAAGTAATCGATCGATAACTCAACCAACATAAGGTCTCACTCTTTCTTTTCAGTTTTGCGTTTTTGTCGATTTTCCCTTCATATGTATGTGTTCCCTTTTTATATTTTTATTATCATTCATTTGGGATTGCCTAGTAGTTCTTGTTGAGATTGGGAGAAGAAATCGAGAAGAGGAAGGAGAAGAGCGATGAGTGTGAACTTGGTGAGGGAAATCGTTGATGAAAGAAATTGGGGTGTGGTCTTTGCTATCTTTCCTCCAATATAAGTCATCTGATCTTCCCAGCCCAATTTTGTTCCCTGCGTTTGAATTGCAAAGTTACGATTGTTTGAAGTTTCAACCTAGATTAGGACTACATCGTGTTTGACTGTAGCGGTGAATGATCAAGAAGCGTTCATCGATGCCGACAGACGCGATGAAGCCTTAAGCGCTTTAGTCGGTCGCGATGATACTATTCACTACGTCTGACTCAAGCGGTTTTGCCCAAACATGTGTAGATTGATAATTTTTTATAAAACGTGTGTATTTTGAGAATTGTTTTTCAAGAACATGTGTACTTTGGGGGGGGGGAATCTCGTCCATTCTGCTTGGTGTAGGTTCCTCGAGTTGTTAATAGAGCTGTTTAGAGAGTGGTACGCCTTGTAAAATTACATATTTCCAATGAGGTGATTGTCTCTCATTGGTCTGGCCAATTATGCTTGGTGTAGTGTTTATGTTGGTTTCTCGAGTTGTTAATGAACTGCTCAAAGAGAGGCACGTAAAGCCATTACATTGTCTTTGTTAGAGTTGGCTTCTTTCATTTTTTTACATCTGGTTGTTGCAGTAGTGGGTTATCGGGTATAGGTAGGAAGGGGTTTTACTTTGTTGATTGTTTTCTTCTTGACATTTCTCGGTTAAGAAAACAAGGTGACATCTAGTGACGAGTCAAGATCATGAGTATTGAGGCATCTTGCTCGTGTTTAGCTTCGTATCTACACGATTGCAACTTTAAAAATCCAGCATCAAAGGTGTTACAACGATGTACGGAAAAAATGAAGAAAAATTCGTGATTGGTGTAAATTTGTAATAATTAAAAGTGGTTCAATTGATGAGGTACAAGAGTTGTCATTATATGTTTTCATGTTCGATTTTCATAGTCTATCAATATGCACCACATTATCTACAAAATACAATAAGGGAATGTCAATATATTCATTCTGCCACATCAGCTCCGGCTGAATAACCCGTACAGTGCGGAGGGAGAGATTAGTAAATTCCTCAACGCCTTCCTCTCTGTGCCTCCACTATCCAGGTCCAACCCCGTTTCCGAAAATTTCAACTGCTCCCTGAAATCTCCCCTTCGCCGGCCTTTCCCTTACTCTGCCGCCGCTTTTTTATTCCTTCTTTTTGTTCTTTCTCACCCCTGCACCTCAATCCTGCTCCTGGAAATTGACAATTTATCACTACTCCGTGGACCAGAAGTCCACGCTGCTGCCGCTTGCCTCTCCCTTTCCATCTGCCGCTTCTTCCTTCCTTCCTTCAATTTTACGTACTCAACCACCAAAGTTGTTAGTGAGCTCAATTGGTTTCCTCCTTATTGATCTTTCAAAATATCATATTTGTGAGCTTTACTGAGGTTACTTGTGTTTCAATTTCAGGATGATGTTGCTACATTCGTATCTTGGTGTTGGGTTTACGTTCATCAAGTTTGGGTTACAAACTTACAGTTACGTCCTTCTCCCCCAACTCCATTGGCACTCTTAGATACTGCCAACAAACAAATGTTTAGATTGTTGTGGTCAATTGTGTTGGGTAAGAAATTAGCACCTTGGCATTAATAGTTGTGGGATCTCTACCTCTCACGCTAAAGCTCTTTTCCCATGCATTTGGGTGTATATTGAATCAGTTGAAAGGGATAGTGAAAAAAGTATGGATATTTTAGTTCAGACACCAAGTTTGCATTTCTTTGTTCAAATGCTACTGCCGTTATGTTTCTGTTCTTCCAAGAACCCCTTTTTCACCTTTCGATTAGTAAACTGAAACGGATCAATGTGAACTAAATTACATATGGCATGGATAAATTTTATCAATATATAAGTCATATGTTCTTTGCCAACATCTGGCATCATGAATTCTACTGAATTGGAACAACACGACCAATATCAAGGGCCCCTATACCATATCATATGTCACAATCCTTTGCACATACATTTATCGGGCATTTGAAACAGGAAATCCACATACGGTAAAATTCAAATAAGAAAACCGATCAGTATCCACAACGTCATGCTTCTTGAGTACTTACTGTTACATTGTCTCTACTTCTCTATATAATCATATTCACTTGCAGCTGGTCTTGCTATTAATTTTGAGGAATCGGGTTTCCTGCAAAAAGAAATACTTCCATAAGCTAATGAATTAGAATGATCTTCTGGTCTGTTTTATAGTTGATTGTATAAGTTCTGATGATTTACTAGATTAAATTTAATTGTTGTCGTTATATAATATTTCGCTTTTTGGACCATTAAAATAGTTTTTGTATACTATTGTCTGGTCATTTGTCATTTGCAAGTGTGATGAGAATTTTCAAAATTATCACGTCAAAAATTATGCAAACATCTATTTATCACAGTCTTTTAATTCCCTTTTCCTGGGCTTCTTACTCCATTAGATCTTTCCTTACTTTCTGTCAATAACAGTGTTACGCAAGTTGATTATGATTTTTTTTTTTTTTTTTTGCTAGGATATTGTAGTAATTGGTTCTTATTATAGCCTTGCTGACATAAGGATGGTTGAAGTAATTTTTCCAATTTGATTGTGGAATTGATGATGCGTATTAGGGATGAAAGTTGTTGCAAATGTATGCAACTTGAAACTTCTTTGGCGGGTTAGCAAAGGTAAGATAAGGTAACGGTAAAGCTGCCGCAACAGTGAAGGTATGAGAGTTGCAGATCCCAAGTTCGATTCAAGCGATGTCCGTTGCTGTTCTCGGAGGTATGAGGCTGCTGGGGCACAAAATCTTATTGGCGTCGAATTGATTGCAACTGTCCCCAAGATTTAGTAGGTCTCGCGGTCATAAAATGGTACGTGAGGCTGATGTTTCTTGGTAAGAAAAAACTTCTCTGATGGGTCTAGGTTGTGTCACTTGTGTGAATAAGAGTGCATATCCAAAAAGCTCATTTATCATTTATTTACTTGAAAAAGTTCCTTATCCCGTTACGCAAGTTATGAAAGAAAATTTATATTTGTATTCTTCTATGTCTTAACCATGTACATGTAATGCCTTTTTTAGGGTGTACAATGTCAAGCGTTAATAAACAAATTTGATCTTCAAATTTTTTAAAACAAAATCTTGGAATGTAGGATATATGCCTCTACCAAATTTTAGGTTGATGACACGAAAATGCATGACAGAGTCACTGTTTTCCCTACGAATTCAGTTTAAGCCAGAAATGGTAGTAGAAGTTTGCCGGATGGAAGTGATATTCCAAGATTTAGTTTTAGATTTCTTAAACCTTCTAACTTCCCACCAAATTTGCATTATGCCTTTTATATTTTAAATCCGGCAACTTGAGATCAATTACCCCTGTTGTGATCAACAAGGATGATGTCTATTGAAAGAAAAAAAAACTTGTGACATATTAAACTCTATTGGAGACCAATCTTTTTTTTTTTCATCCTAAAGGTTAATTATGTATGTGATGTGAAGCAACTCCAACATTCAACTATATGGCCTACTCAAGTAACTAATCTTTTTATATGAATAGTGAAAAATTATTAGTTGTATTTAATTATTACTAATATTATATTTCTAATCCTATTATAATTATATTATAAGCATAGCGGGAAAAACTTGACAACATTATTTATGGCTTCACCCGCCCAAA